GGGGGGGGGGGACCGGTTGTGACGTAAAGGTCAGGGCTCGATGTACGCGTACACGCAGAATAACTTTTCCCGTCGGCGTGTCGGGGACAGCACGCGTTCCCCGCACGTGGTGCACGTGGCACGTACGCAATCGTTAAGGTCGTTCGAGCTACCGTGTCCGTGTACTCTGTACCACCGCTACTCTCGATGCGCGCCTTCTCCACGCGAATTGGAGCGCGAGAGTACTCTGCGATCGCAGATAGAGGTGAGCAATTCATTTATCGTTACGCTTGTTACGCTCAGACGGTGATGTGAGCTCTGTCGAGGCCCGAAGAGACGTGTGTGTAAACTAAGACGTATTAATTTGAACGGGATTTTGTGCCCTCGAGATCTAATAATCTGATATAATTTCATTTGAGAATCTGTGGTAATTTAATAATCGAAAAGCATGCGGTAAGATTCTCAAGCCGGCAGGCGTGTTCTTGCATAATGCTCCAACTTATTGCCTGCATCTTGACCGAAGGGAACTCGAGCGGGGGTTGAAACACAAGAAATTCTATGCTCACGTCGACTCGGATTGGCTTTGACATCTTACGTGCAGAATTTTTATATTTCTCGTATTTTAGATTTTTTTTTTCTGATAACGAGAATCTTTTGGTTTATTTGTTCATTTTTATTAATTAATTAATCATTGCCATATCATATTATATTACTGGAATGTATAATAAATAATCTTTGGTCATTGTCAGATAAAATAAAGATTGTATTTTTGCGTTGTTATAATTTTATGAGATAATGTATGCGCCGTTTTAATCTATGATCTTCTGTCACTCTTAGCGTACATTGCTTCGTAAGATTAAAATGATCAAAGTGTAATCATCCCACAGTAAGTCTGAGAAATCTGCAAGTATTTGTTACACGACCTAATCCATCATATATGTCGTTATATCATCATATCACATCGTCACATTATAATATCGTATCGTATCATCATATACGTATTATATTGTACCATATCATATGATTTCACATTAGATTTTATCAAAATTCAATACATGAATACATTATTATCCACGACTTATCAGTCGTAAAATCCGCGCGCACCTCGCTGGAGGTATACGCGCCATACAAAAGGTGACGTTAATCCCCGGAAATCCGAGTTCCTCAGGTAACTCGTGACCCCAGGTGCGGGACAAAGGAATCCGCATGCGCCTCTTCCGGGCGTTTCTTTCACCTCGGCGCGACGGTGCGCGCATTAATCTTCGTAACAGTGCATCAACCTGCCTACCGAGCGCACCTAAGCGCATTCCTCATTGTTAGCGCGCGCGACTTTGCCACGACGACGTTGCATCTCGCGGTGGGTGCGGGAGGCCATGGCGGCGAGGCCACGGGGGCGCGCAGAGATGGTGAGGGAAGGATGAACCTTTGGCCTCGGTGCAGGCCACAGCTCTCGTGGCTCTCGTTCCCTCTCGCGTCTTACGACGTAGCTCCATTATACTCGATGACCTCGAACCTTCGTCGTTCAGACTACATACTACATGTACATATATATACATGCGACTGCTCTTGATCCGTTCGGACATAATCGCACGATCGCATCTGCGTCATTCTCGTTATCGCATTATCGTGATGCGGATTGCCAAGGGACAGGTATACGCGAGCAGGGTGGGAAAAGTTGGCTAACGAAGCCGATGAAAAGTCGCCGATCAACAGTGTTGATCGACAATCGTGCGAAAATCAGCGCGAACAAGGACGGGCATTGTGGCGTGGGAATTTTTAGCGCCCAGTAAAGAAAGAATAATGCACGATGAAACGCCACAAGTGAACAATCAAACAGTACTGTCTCATTTGTGCCACTCACGTCTTTTCACGTTTATCATTTGCTCTGTCCGTTTTGTCATCCGACGATGTTTCTTTTTCTTTGCCGACCCTCGATGGTCAGCATGTTTGACAGACGCACATGCTATGCATATGGCCCACATGCTGAGAGGATTTACGACGGTAATGTACTTGACCGAATCGCAAGAATTACCTGTCGTGCAGGACCACCTGACGAAAGAAAGATTGGTTGTAAAGTAAGATAAAGATCCCAATCCTCCCAAACACGTGCTTAATCCGTAGATTTTTATTGCTTTATTGTTTGGTCCATAAATACATATATTCTATGTTGGAAATTTCAATATTCGTATCTAAAAGGATATAAGGACAAGTGTAATTTCGTAGATTGCACTGTTTTTCTATTTGGTTTATGTGGAATTGCAAATGTTTCTAGAGTAAAAGTGCAAATGTATATTTTTTATAAAAAACAAAAAAGTTCCTTTTTACAACATTTTTTCTGTTTTTCATGCAACTTGGTGTCTCTCTCTTTCCATACGTTGTACATATATTTCATACATTTATACTTTCGCTCTGTAAAAGCATTTGCAATTCTATGCAACCAGACAGAGTAAAACAGTGCAAACTGCGAAACTGCCTTATGCAGTAATCAACATTCCCCGGATTAGATACGGGTCCGGGGATTGACATTTTTATCTCAACTCGCGATTTATTTTCGACCTGCGCGCCTGACGGTCGAATTATTTCTCGTGCGACGTCGTCGCGATTACCGCGAGATAACAGATAAGCATATTAAATGCGGAATGTGAGAAACCGATCTCTCTCTCTTTCCCTCGCGAGCCATGCAAAACCCGTCCTGTCGACGCAGGACGAGGATCCTAGGACGCGACGGACGACATGGAGAAATAGCCGCGGGAGGTGGAGGCGCGGCTAAGCTTGGCGAGACGAGGCGAAGAGAGATGGAGAGGAATAAGTCTGCCGCGTACCACTTGCGGGAAAGGAAACAAAAAAGAAAGGAGAAACGACACGAGAAGGAAACTAGGAAGCGGTTTCGCGAGCAAAATGCGTGCGCGGGAAATCGACCGTTCGTATGCTCCTAACTGGTGGTACTGGTAGTAGTAGTAGTAGTAGTAGTAAGTAGTAGTATTACAGACCCGGCAGCGGCGCGGTTTCCTCGATCGGAGGATCCTGGTAGGATCGTCCTGGGACTTTTACGCGCGGACCCGTTCGACGGACGTCGATCATGCACCACGCGCCGCGCTGATGAGCCATGTTTCCTGATTAACTGGATAGCCGATTAACTCTACTTCGCTCTATCGATGGGTTTCCATCTGGCCGCGGGAGGATTATCCCGTATTTATGCGCGCTCGATCGTTCGCCGGTGTAATTTCGCCGCGTATTTGCGTTACGAGCTACTGATCCGCGTCGTTCGTTCTCGTCCTGGCGGCTGCCAGGTGCTGCAATCTCCCTCCGAAACGCGCTACTTCGCGTCTTACAGACGATCATCGATAGGACTCTTATTAAGTGTGCGTGTGATTCTCTGCTTTTTATTATATTATTAAGTACATGGAGTAATTGAAATATCAAATTGTGAAAGTATTAAGTCGCCAAGTATGTGTCACCGATGTGTGGAGCCTACTTAGCTCGGCCATTTATCAGATTCAACACTAGAATTGCACTGAAAGAAGAAATATCTAGAAAATAAGGAGACAGTATTTTCACTCGAAATACGATAGTGAAGATATTGCCATTGAAAATTGCAAGTATAAATGTCTCATTCCAATGCGGAGTGGCTCTTCAGTTTCGAGTAACCCGCTGGTCAGTCTGCCTTTCGAGTGAAATTTCACTCCAAGGAATTTAGCGAGTAGTTACCGGACGAAGAGAAAAATACGCTTGACGTAATTAATTAATTAACTTCTACGTATATTTAACATAAAAATACATTTAAGAACGTTTAATTACGAATGTATAACTAAGGTTCCCATTACAGATGGGCTCGTTCACGATCGGGAGGGTGGCGTGTGCAACCGCGAGCCTGATATTCGTAGTGCTATTAACGAGTGGTGACGCCGCGTTGGGTAAGTTTCTACCTCGAAATTAGCCGAAAGCTTTTGTCACAAATCCAAGGGAAGATTCCATTCCTCTAAATCGCGCTCGATGAAATTCTTCCGAGAAATGTCGAATCGAAGCAAACATGATGACGAATTATAGTCACAACAAATGACATTAATAACGTTCTATGTAGCAGAAACTTATTGAGAAAACTTCTTTAGAAAACCGTTCAAAGACATCATAAAGACATCCTACTTTTTTCCAAACGTCTTTTAGAACTTTTTAAGACGTATTCTGGGAAACTTTTGTGCTACCTGAACAGAGTGATTCAAAATAAGCACTTGTCCTTGGAAAGACGTATTCCTAATCAAATTCTAAGACGATATTTTTCCCTTTGCAAAAATTTGTCCAGAGCTTAGTTTTTAATAAATAAAAATAGTTAGTGTATATATCATACGTCGAATACAGGAGACAGACAAGAGCGACGCAACTTCTTATTATACGCGGGTACTTATGTGAGACGCCTACCGCGATCAGCTGACATACACGCATACATTCAAACTTTCTTTTTCTTTCTTATTCATTTATTCGCTTTTTTGTGAGAATAGCGGAAAATGTATTTACGCGGAAAAAAGGATTTGCTACAGCAGCAAACTAATTTACTATATATGGACAGTTAAACATAATTTACTGCGTTAGCTACTTTTTCTTTGCTGCAATAACCTATTTCTTTACTTTGGATAACAAGAAAATTTTCTCTTGCAAAAAAGTAGCTAAAGTAGTAAATTATGTTTAATCCATCTGTAGCAAATTTGTTGCGTTAGTCACTTTTCTTGCTGTACGAGCAGATTTTATTGTTATCATAGCAAAGAAATAGATTCCTGAAGCAAAGAAAAACTAGCTAACGCAGCGAATTATGTTTAACTGTCCATATATAGCAAATTAGTTTGCTGCTGCAGTAAATCCTTTTTTTCCGTGTGCATAAATGCATTTTCTCCTATCCTCGCAAAAAAAAAAAAAAACGAATGAATGAGTGAAAGAAAAAAAGAGAAAGTTTGAATGTATATATGCGTGTATATCAGCTGATCGCGGTAGGCGACACGTAAGCATCCGTATGTAATAGGGTGTCGCGCCGCCCCTGTCTATCTCCTGTATCCGACCTCTGTATATATGATACGCTATTTTTATTTATAATTTAAAAACTAAGTTCTGAACAAATTTTTGCAAAAGGAAAAATTATCTCAGAATTCGATTAGGATACGTTTTTCTAAGGACAAGTGGTTTTTTTATTTTTAAACACCCTGTACACACTAGTCCTTCGTGAGTCATCTTGGGAACAGTTAAAATTTCAGTTGTTTGTTCTGCTAAAATTTTTCTAAAAGAAAAAGTTACAAATTGAGAGCTAAACAACGTTTTGACTAGAAAATGGAAATCTGAAATGATGAGAAAAAAAGTTTACCTCGATTTTTTGTTCATTCATGAGGAGAAAAGTGGTCACGAAACAAACCGCGTGAGCAAAAAAAAGAGAAGCGGACGAAGACTTAATAGTCATTTGTCGCCATTGACATATCATTGTGTTTAGAACCGAAGTAGCTTACACGGACGATGATGACGTCGGCACGTCCCGTAAATGCGAAGTTGCTTCCTCATTTCAGCCAGGACCGCATTTGAGAAACTCACCGACTACGATTACCGCGGCACCACCTATTACAGCGTGAGGAATCTGTCGTTGTACGAGTGCCAAGGATGGTGCAGGGAAGAGCCAGAGTGTCAGGCCGCCGCATTCTCGTTCGTCGTGAATCCCTTGGCGCCGATGCAGGACACTCTCTGCCAGCTGCAGAACGAAACGGCCGCCACGAATCCGGCCGCGCAGCCTCAGAGAGCCGCCAATATGTACTATATGACGAAATTGCAAATCAGATCTGGTGAGCGAACGCGGAATGTTAACGCACGCGTGAGGTCTTCGATACGTTCGTCCCATCTGGCGTTTTGATGATACTTCCTTCTCCCAAATTAACTCCTTGGAACCTCCAAATTAATCGTGATTCATCAAAAAGCGGCGCGGAATATGTATATATACTCTGAATTGCTAAGTAAAACATGAAACATTTTTTAAAGTTTTATTATTTTCATAATTATTTTACACTCAAATCTCATTAGGACCAAAATCAATACATCTACAATTTTTATGTCAAAAGCACTTCAAATTTTGTGAATTATACATATTCCAAAGATATGAAACCCTGATAACCTGCTATTGTGGGGATAACGAGTTCAACAGATTAAAAGATCTATATGATTGTCTCGATCCTTCCGAATTGCTGGTTGTTTTATTTTAGACGTTATATTAGACATTACTTCAGACGTTATATTAGACGGAAAGAACCAAAGAATGTTTAATAAGTCGACAGCAGATAACCTAGAATTGTTATCTCGAAAGACATCGACTTGCTTTCATTTTCGCGACAAATTGAAGAAAAAACTTTGTTCAGATTGTGTCCACTCATTTAGTTCCATTCCTTCGTTTTCTGTGTTAATACAGAGCGAAAGAAATAGAAAACGGTAACGTAGGAATAATAGAGTTGGTTTCCTGCTTGCAGCACAACAGAACAGCCGACACAGTAGCGCGCAGCATTTTACGACCTTTTCGATCCTACGTGAGAAAAAGCATAGGTAGCTACCAACGGTTCCACTCAATGATTTCTCCCAGTTCATTAATGTATTAACGTCTTCTTTTCTATCGTATAATTTTCGTCCCGTTGATTTTCGTTCCAGTCCCAAATGTTACTAAATCTTCCTTACACAGCTATCGTCCTTACTAATCCTTTTTTTTTATTATGTAGCACTTTCCACTTCTTGGTTATGGAAAACAGGAACAAATAAAACGAAACACGTAGAGATCGTGCGCAGCATAATATGAGCAACGGATAATCCCAAGTCGCGAAACCTGTTCACGTGGACCGAAATATATAACAGAACGTGTCGTGCAACGGGGATTCCTTTTTCGTGTCAAATAGTACGATTTCGTGATTTCCAAAAAGGATCAGATCAAAACAAATACCGTTTCTATTGCGCGGAATATCTGACTATCTGCTTGCCTCCCCAAATAGACACCAAAAGAATATATATTTAGAGATTTAAGATAGTTTATTCTATTGTTATTTCAATTGAGGTCTCTTTTTTAGAGGAGCAACGATACGTGAGACACGTTATTTTTTTCATCGCCAAATGTCTTCAAGGCCATCATTTCTAACAAGCATTATCAGATTGTCTCGTCTTTCAAACACGCATTCCTTTTGCTTTTTCTTTGTACTAAAAGTTTAGGATACGGTTAGAAATGATGAACAGTATGTGGAACCACATACCACGTCGGGGACGACGTAAAAGATTTACAAAAAAGCATAAACCTCTGAACAAACGAATATATTTATAGGACAAGTACAACAGGTTGATCATGAAAGTATTATTGTTATTTCAGCGCGTTCCCTTTTTCCATTATCGAGCTGTTTTGTTATAGTGCCATCAGATCGTTAGTTACGCATGAGACCGTGTCGAATCATGCGTTAGACCTACGCTACCTGCGATATTACATTCAACGAAATAGGACGAAATGTCCATTCACGATTCTTGGAAAATGGACTATTTTTAGTTTTATCTATCGTGGGAACACGCAAGCAAAAAACATCGGTTGTCGTACGATAAAAGAGCACAATCCATCTGTCTTCATAATTTCTTTCTTTCTTTTAGAAACGTTGACTTTTTTATTTTAAGTATTGGGACAGAAAAAATATAAAAAATGGAAAAATAACTTTATTTGGTGAAGCGGAAAAAAATTGCATGTACATTTCAAAAATTCTACTCACTTATAATTTATAAATTACGAAGAGTTTTTCTTTGCAAACATCTGAAATTGAGGTTATTTTGAATCGACCTATAAAGGTTTTTCGTCATGGGTCAACGATTTCACGTTTTTAAAGTACGACATGTGTTAGCATCCCATACGCTGTGAAACTGCACTGGCGTGAAATTATTGTTGAAAAACATGTCGAATAGGATTCGTGTTTTTTCCAAATTTATCGAAAATTCGATCATTTTAAGATTAAATCCTAAAATGATGGAATAGGCCATGAATAGGTGCGTGGATCATAAAATATTTGAGAGAATTTTTAAGTTTAGTGCATTGAGAAGAAATACTTGAGAATTTCTTTGTGGGATATAAAGTTTATTTTTGTGAAATAAGATTTATGTCTCAAAAAAAATAGAGTGGGTAAGTTCTCATAAGTTTTTAACTCCATTTTGTGATATTCGAAATCTTAAATTATTTTTTGATAAAATTGTAAAACTGTTCATGTGTATTGTCGCTCGACATCGGATAGCGACGGTGCAGTATTATTGAGGCTACAAAAAAAAAAGAAATATTTCAAACAGTCACTTCATAAATAATCATAAATAATCATACCGGTTTACCAATTCTGGCGGTAATCTGTCCAGAACGAGCGATTTGTCAGTAGCGGCGACGGTCAGGAATTTATACGATCGACGGTGATTCATCCGTGAAGGAGTCACGCGTCGGTTCGTTGGCACTGCTTTCGTTGTCGACGGCGACTTTAGCGCCAGTTTCGAGGGCGTAACAAAAGAAATCGGAACGGCGAACAGGCCCGGCCGAAATACATTCCGGGTGTGTATGCCAAAAAGCACGGTCTACGTGCGTCATCGTCGGCGTAAACGCGTGCCAAGTCACATGCCGGCGGCTCGTGATTTCTCTCGGCGTGTTCGGGTCTTTCGCCGCGAACCGTAATCCGCGAAGACCGTCGCGCGACCACTTCTCCTTTGAAATGATTTAAATAATCCGACTACTCGAGATACCTTAACATGTTGACTGTCTAACTCCAAGTGGTGAATAACATTGCAGCACGTGTAATAATCTGGAACAAATGGAACTCGAACATTTAAAAACTAGACTGTCTGCTAGAAGAAGGACTTTTGTTATACGCTTAAGATCGAAATTTTACAAAATGGCGAAATTTTACAAAACTTCGAAGTTAAAAAATCCTTTTTATTTGTCTCTTTTTTTATCATTTGGTTTTTCTGGGAAAAATACTAATTTTGGAAATTTTCCAAAGGATTCATTCTTCGATAAATTTGATTTTTATAGTTTTTGAATTTCATCCCATTTATTTCAGATTATTAACACGAGCTATTATATTCATCGATTATCTGACAACATCAGGCTCAGCGCGTAAGAATCTGGGCGGAATTCAGTTTTTTAAATAATTTATTTATATTTAAGATAATGATAAATAGTATGGTAAAAAGCTTGTATGTTGGTACTTTTACTCATTTCTTAAAAAAAAAAAAATTGTAAAAACCTCATCTTTTGGCATCTAAACTAGAACCTCCTCTTAAAGAGCCTAACAGAGAAATGACTCGTTTATTGCTTCCACGAAAACGTGTCGACCCGGGTAATAATTACACGTTTTCATTAGAACTGTCCCACCTATCTGAAGCGATGAAACATACAGTAAGTCCCGCGTAGAATCTGCCAAACTGCACGCATAGTAACGCGGTGTCATCAACGACCAGATGTAACGAATCGTGTCGCTAAGGTATAAGATTGCGGCCCGGGAGATGAGATCGCCTGTCTTTACGCGTCATGCGTTATTTTAGAGAACGTCTGTTTGCGGCCGTGGGCGTTTGAGCGCATCCCGAATAAAATGATTCGCGGCTTGGACAACGCGCTAATTTACACCTCCACGAAGGAGGCCTGTCTCGCGGCCTGCTTGAATGAGCATCGTTTCACCTGCCGATCCGTGGAGTATAATTATGTGACGCTGCAGTGCCACCTGGGCGACTCGGATCGCCGGACAACGGGGCAGTACGTTCAATTCGTGGACGCGCAGGGGGTGGATTACTTCGAGAATTTATGCTTGAAAGGTAAAAAGGAGAGAAATAAATCGGCTTGAAGGCTAAGAAAGAGATTATACAGCGTGGGACTATTCGCCTGGAGTATCTTTAAAGTAAAAAATAAAAGCACCCTTCGGATCTTCGAAGTTTCTCTACCTAGAAAAAAGTGTCTTATGGCGATAAGCTACAAAAAATAAAGCATAACAGCTATAAAATACTACTTTCTAGCTGGAATAGCTTCGAAAGTTTGAAGACAATCTTGATTTTTTGCCTCGAAGATATTGGAAATGATAATAGTGATAAGAGTTTTTGTAATACCGTCTTTCAGGTACGGTAACGTTAAAGTACGTTCCGATATTCACTGCCAGTACTGTGAATATACAGTTTGTGTTACGTATCCTATAGATTTAAAGTATTGACACTGAATATCGGAACGTACTTTAGCGTTATCGTATCTGAGACACGATATTGTAAAAAATCCCTATTGCTTTATCCTATTAAGGACCCCTGATTTAATCGGCCACACAAATCCACGCAGGTAAGGAGGCCTGCAAGTCTCAGAGGATCTTCCAGATGCCCAGAATCGGTGTGGCAGACGACAAAGTAGCGCAATACGCCGGCCTACATTATTACACCGACAAGGAACTGCAGGTACAAAGCGAGTCCGCCTGCCGACTGGCCTGCGAGATCGAGAACGAGTTCCTCTGCCGCTCCTTCCTTTACCGCGGCGTTCCTCAGGGCTCGGCCTATAACTGCCACCTGTTCCACTTGGATCACTGGACCCTTCCGGACGGGCCGTCGACGTACCTGAACGCCGAGAGGCCCTTGATCGACAACGGTGAACGCGTCGGGACTTACTTCGAGAATTTCTGCGAGAGTAAGCGAACTCGAGCACTCGTCGCCCGAAGCGAGCTGAAGGCGCACGCGTGCACATGATTCTAGGGTATATTCGTATTCGTTTCAGAGGGTACCGGCCCGATAGCGGATACATTGCCCATCGTCTTCGAGACCACCGAAGACCCCACAATTAACAATCTCACCAGAAATGATATTAATTGCGACAAGACCGGGACCTGTTACGATGGTATGAAATTCACATCCTCTAACAATGCATACACCAAGAAGAAAGATTGGTTGTGTATTTATTAACGGAGCACAAATTATTTGTCAAAAGTCAAAACAGCGATAAGTATTTGAAAATGTAAAAGAAAACTATTAAGCGACTACGTTGGAATTTTATATATTCAATTAAGTAATATATTTGCTTTAAAAAAAATTATAAATGATTTTTTTAATATTTAGAATCAAAATAATAATTTTTAATTTTAAATTATTTTTTAATAAAAATATATTAATTATGTATATTAGATTCAAACGAATTTACTTGATATTTTTTTTAAGAATTTCTAAACATTTGTTATTCCTTTTGGCCTGAAAAAATAATTTGTTTTCTTAACATGACAATGACACAACTGTGTTTTAATTAAAAGGAATAGAATTTCTAGTTCTTAAGAATGAAATTTGTTTTACAAGGTCCAAGAATTTTATTTTCTTCGAGATTAATTAATTATTTTAATTCAACCAAACTTTTCTCTTTGCGTAAAAAAAAGAATTGCTTTCACGTAATTGAATTTTCTGTTGCCTGAGGACCACGCGAAAATTCGTTTGCAAGTACAAAACAATTTATGCAAAAGATTTCTATTCAGTCACTTACCTCAACTGACTTATGCAACCGAACATTTTCCATCGTGGCAACAGATATATCTTATCACCGAGTTTTCGTCTGGTCCTCATTCGCTTACACAAACTGAGACTTTTCCGCGTACAAGACACGACGGGCAATTTTTCTAACGAACGGTCGTTGATTCCAGTATCGGTCGACTGTAAAGACACTCGAATTGCCGTTCAAGTTCGCACTAATAAGCCCTTCAACGGACGCATCTACGCTCTTGGCCGATCGGAAACGTGCAATATCGACGTTATCAATAGCGATCTATTCAGGCTGGATCTCACGATGAGCGGTCAAGATTGTAATACTCAAAGTGTGGTAAGTGACGCATGACGTGACGGCAGAATGGCATGTTCCTTTTTTACTTCCAGAACTGGAGTAGGTGACACAAATAATCCACGCACATGCACGCTTAGAAGTCGGCGAGCTTAAGAATTCACACTTCTGTGTTGCACTCATAAACCACTTTTACCTAGACAGCACAAATTTCTAAAAGACGTCTTAAAGACGTTCCAAAAACATTCTATTTTATTCAAACATCTTTTATACGTTTTTCAGATGTTTTATTAGAAGCTGTTCGGCTATCGATGTATCCATTTTTTCGTCGATGTTATCCGACATTTTTTGTTTGATTTTCCACGTTTATTCGACTATTGTATCACGTGAAATACAGATTCATATTCTGAGCTTTTTTTTATCGCTGAAGATGCCTTTAAAAGTTACTTATAAGCCTTGGCTATAAATCATTTTTATAGACGTTTTTAGCGATAAAAGATGCAGTTTAAAATATGGATCACAATGTCTGATTTAAAAAAAAGGAGAAGCAGAGAAAACTTTTCCCTATATTTGAGTTTCTCGAAGATCGATAAAGAGCTTACGATAAATACGCACGCACCTATCTCTCTTTGAGTGCTTAATCTCTGTTCAAACTTTCTTTTCACCATGGCAGCGTGACGGTTTTCAGACTGGGATCTACTCGAACACGGTCGTACTGCAACACCATTCCGTGGTGATGACAAAGGCTGATAAAATCTACAAAGTTAAGTGTACATACGATATGTCTTCGAAGAATATCACCTTCGGCATGATGCCGATCAGAGACCCGGAAATGATCAGCATCACGAGCGCACCGGAGGCGCCGCCGCCGAGAATCCGCATCCTCGACAGCCGGTCGCGCGAGGTCGAGACAGTGCGTATCGGCGACAAGTTGACGTTCAGAATCGAAATTCCGGAGGACAGTAAGTTCGTTTCTTGTAAATTCAACTTTTTTAACCCTCTTAATATCATGAGTAATTGTCGTCGACTTCAAGCCATTTGTTAAAATCTCTTCGTTAGAAGGGGCGACGTAAAATATTGTATAAAATTTTGCGAATTGACATTTTTTGGCAATTAGTCACATACTAGTTCTTGTCTTTCACTAGCTTTCTCTTTAATCTCTTGTTCGGTTCAAGAGATTACACGTCCGACATGAAACACAGTCTAATTTTAAGCTTTATTTTAGCTTGAGAATTAGAGACTTCGACTAGCGCCGACTGCGCAGTCAGAATAGCAAACTTAGAATCGTGCAAGTAAAATTACTTTGTTTCTTTCTCTGTGTTATATATACAGAAAATTATTTCACCACGCAAAAGTGTCAGACGCGAACGCGCGTTTATGTAAAAAGACGTTGCTTTCAAAACAAAACGCGTCTTGTAAAATTAAGACGACAAATTATTTTTTCAAGCCAAAACGATTTATTTAAAGAAAACTACTAAACTTATGTAAAATTCAGATATTTATTTAGTAATTTTTTCTAAATAAATTCCCGAATATTGTTGCTATTTTAACCTGAAAAAAATAATTTTGCCTCCTTAATATATAACCAATCTTTTCTTTCCGTGTGATCGCGATCGTCATGGTATCAAGCGGATCCGAGGAGAGATCAGAATAATAGGAGGGTTAAAAAAGAAAAAAATACAAATTTAAAAAACGACATCGCCAATCTTTAATAATAATTCGCAAACAACTGACATTAACATTCTGTATGTAGCCCCATACGGCATTTTCGCTCGCAGTTGCGTAGCCATGGCAAAGGATTCAAAAAGCACGTTCCAGATTATCGACGACGAAGGGTCAGTCTAATATCTTTCTTAGCATTTATCCGTTGATTTATGATCGACGGAGAATACAAAGCGCATGTGGGACGAATTTGAATACGAAAGCGTATTATTTCCAGGTGTCCCGTCGATCCCTCCATCTTTCCCAGTTTCACGCCCGACGGTAACGCCCTGCAATCCGTGTACGAGGCCTTCAGGTTCACCGAGTCTTATGGCGTAATTTTCCAATGTAACGTCAAGTATTGTCTAGGACCGTGCGAGCCGGTAATTAGCCGATTAACTTCATTGCGTTATATTTCCGATAAACGATCATAAAACAGTAGTTTGAACGAGCCTGCCTCGCGTTGCAGGCCGTCTGCGAATGGGGCCGCGAATCCGTGGAATCGTGGGGCAAGAGGCGTAGGAGAAGCCTCGCCAACTCGACGGAGGAGAAGGCCGAGGATATGACTCTGTCGCAGGAGATCCTGGTGTTGGATTTCGGCGACGAGAAACAGTCCGACTTTCTGAAGAGTGATGCCAGCATAGACTTCAATGAAGCAGGTAAATAAGCAGAGAGGCTGTAAAAGCTGCGAAAAGGAACCGAGCGTGTCTCTCTCTCTCTCTCTCTCTCTCTCTCTCTTTCTTAGAGAGAAAGGAGAGAAAGAGAAACGCCGACCATAACTTGAGTGACAGGGTGTTGATGACCAAATAAGCATGACACTTATTTCCAGACAAAACAGTGACCATCGTGGAGCCGTGCCCGACGAAAACCTCGGTATTGGCGCTCGGGGTGACGTGCGCTCTGCTCGTGCTCATCTACATCTCCACGATCTTTTGTTACTACATGAAGAAGTGGTTGACACCTCGTAAGATGATGACTTAAAGGCTGAGGAAACGCTCACCCCGTGGAACGCGATCACGGAAGCAAATAAGGAAGACGATATCGAAGAGTGCGACAGTTCACACATTCACACACACACACACACACACACACACACACGCGCACACGCACGCACGTATTCACACGCGATACACAGCCACACTCGTGTATGGTAAGTTATCGAAAGATTCATACGTAGCGATAATTATTCGCTCTCTCATCCCTATTATATACCTGTTCATTGTCATTATATTTCCATCGACTTGAAACGGCTCGTAAGAGGGCGGACAAGGAGAAAAATCGTCGGACAATCGTACCATTTTCTAATGCGCGTTTGAATCGCATCTAATGCGATCGGTATTCTGCGCGGTGTGCTATCGACGACGATCACGGGGGTCGATTGTGTAACGTCCGGCTGCGCGAGTACCGGCTCCACATCGGTAACACTGACGCACACGGTTTCTGAGGGTACAGTTACGCTCGTTGGTACAAGTCGACACTTCCGACGGAGTCATTCGAGGGAGATTAATAATAGATCGTCTCGAAAATAAGTTTACGCGCACACACACACGCGTGCATACATACACACATACGCACACACGCATACACTGACATATACACAAAAGACTACCGACTGACGTGATGAAGATCACAAGGATCTCTTGTACCATATGTTGAAAGTAAACACCTACATATAACCGAGCTCTACGACGGTAGCGATGACGACTCGACTTGTCTCGATTTTTGTCTTGATTTTTAACGGAGGCTCGGCTCGAACGTACACCTGACTGTTCTCCAGGTGTGGCGGTGATATTATGTCAATCAGGCGAAAGGGAAGTCTCTCTGATCTGAGAAGTAGCTCGAGTCATGACGACGATATTATTGCATTTCGCGGTAGAACGCCAATAAAATATTACATCAGACGCACGAAGCGAGGCCTCCGATGTGTACACTCTTTGGCGCGTTTAACGACGTGTTCTTGGCGCGCGCGCAAGTCGCGCGCCGAGATATTGTTAAAATAGCGATCATAACTGATCTGTTGACACGGTCCGACTTGATGCGCGAGGGAAGCGTTGCTGCATCAGCGCGGCCGCGCGCGATCAAAATTTGCGTTCGTCGGTTCGCGCGCGTCCGATTTCGAGGGTGTTTATCGCAAAGTTGGCGAGCGACTCTTTTTCACACACGCACGCACACATACACACACACACACATACATACGCGCATACGGGATATGAATCGCGAAGCTCATTGCCGAGATCACCATGAACGTAACGAGAGTAGATTTTATTTAAGAATATTCTTAGAAATCAGCTAACTGTCTCATCCTCTAGCGGCTACTTCTGATCGGGTTGCAAAAAGAACAAGATCGAGCGCGCGAGTTGACTTGTCGCGGTGCTCGAGGCGAAATTTCCGATAGCTCGTATTAATGGTGGACGCGAGCCTGGTTGCTGTTTTCGGTCCTCGGAGATCGATTTGTAACCCGCATCAAGACTAGCGGTATTTAAAGGTTCACGCTTCACTAACGTCTCTAACGATACAAGTAGCGTTAAGATAGCGATTAAGCATGTAAGCATAGACGCGAGAGAAAGACGGAGAGAAAGGTGAAAACAGAGAGGAGAACGAACGAACGAGAAGAGACTTTCTCTTCTATTCCAACGGATTCTCGGAAGGCGGCTCGTACTTTTCCAGAACGAATAAATCAGTCGTGCAGGAAAAGAGATAAACGAGTGTTGAAATTAGTCGAGTAGCGACGACAGTGATGGTCGAGTAAAAGTGGTGATGGTCGAGTAAAAAAAAAAGGGAAAAGGGGAAAATTTCCTCTAGCTCCAGCTTAGAAACTAATCGAGATACTGATCTCTTGGAAGTAGCCGCCGAAGAAACTGCCGTTTTGGCATTTTTCGAGGTACCACTCACTGTTCGTGAGATTTGTGAATGAATGGAAGGAACACCCGAGCGTTCGGCTACCTGACTGTAGATTGCTTTCTGCGCGTTTATACCCGGAGCTCGAGGCGCTCTCGGGATTTTAGCCGTGCGGAAATATTAAGGTATACTCGAGGTACGACGTAGTGCGACGGCGGCACGCGCGCGCGTCGCCGTATATTAATATAATCCTCTAAGGACAATCATATTTTCTCAGTTTATCAGCTCCACTCAATTAATGGATATTCGCTGCGAATGTGCTCCGCCGAACACTCCCTCCCGATTTCGGCTCTCGAGATCTGTAAACGCGTTCAATCCGTAAACGCGAACGAACAATGCGCGACTTTTGATCTCGGGAAAGGCCCTGATGGAGTTTTTATTCTCCAGTTTGGAAGCAGATAAAGAATTTCCGATACATTTGTCCACTCAAATCGCCGAGTCATCGTTGAAATTATTCAACATCTGGCACATCTGGCGAGAGCAATCAGGAAGAGTATTTGGCGGATGAGAATTCGCTTCACACGAGCAGACATTACTGTATCCGCTTCGACTTCTTCACAGTCTATTATTAAGCGACCTATAGGCGATAAAATATGCATACCCGTTCCTCTGGGGACATTACGGCGACGTGTTAATCCGATACGACGAGCGATTCCTCTCGCGATAGAGACGTTACGTAATGATCTATAAACAGCATGAATTGGGTGGAGTAAATTAAAATTTCCGGTTAAGGTGCTTGCTATATGCAGGGGTCAGACTCTCTCGGTAATTGAATATTCTTCGGATGGAAACGCGCAGCACGGTAGAAATGCGACCGCGGGGTAAAATAGACCGACAGCTTCATCACGAAGTCAACGTTGAGTCGAACGAGAAATTTCTGCCAATTCGGCGGCTCTCTTGATGAAGCTGTCAGCTCTGGAAACAAGACACATTTTTCGTATTTGCGTTGCATTAAAATTAATTCGTCCACGAAACGTGTGTGACCCCTTGCGGTTTACGAAACCGTCTACAAAATGTATATATTATTAAGGCGGACTGCAGTAGGCATTGAGAGAAGAACACACACATACGCATCAACATGCATCAATCACATATATTTGTACCCTATTTATATACGTGAATGTTTCAGTAATTAAACTCAGATCAATTTTGACAGAATCGTTTTCCCTTCCTTCGCGATCGACCGTGTCCCGAATTCCCGATAATTTACGCGATGCATAAAATGCAAAATAATATATGTATTGCGTTCAATGCGCCTGACAAAAAGAAAGATTGACTTGAGTCAGCTAAAGCGTCATTCGCGAAAAACTCGGATCCGCACACGAGAAACGGTAGCAGTGTTTGCTTTCAGTCAATTTCATTAATGAATTTGTGGATTTGACTCACGATGAATCAACGCTTCAAAGGTGAGATCTCGACGGCCGACCGTGTAGCCGTTCGTGCTTTACAGCAGCTCCTGCCGTGTAAATAAATCATCGGTCTGGTCGAGCGCCAGAAAGCGCGAGGCATCGCATCGAACTCGTGACTAATCGATTTGTATGTAGAAACGTGTATTAGCGCTGCACGTGCGTTTATTATTGCGACGAGCAATTATAACCGGATATCGCTTGACAAAGATAGAGCACAAACATCGCGGATGCGCCTTGAAGTATTTGAAAATAGCGCCACAAAATACAAGGCCTCAGGACGTTTTCTCAAGCTCGATAACGCACGGCCGTGTGTTAAAAGAGTTCCGCGTGAGAAACGCGAAAGAAAGCACAATTCCGCGCGATGCAATTGGCCTTCCGTTCAAAATCGCCACGATCACGTCGGTAACCGCCACCTGCGGATAAAACAGCAGCCTTATCGAGCGTTTCGTTATTATACGCTCGGCCGATAAAGCGAGTCACGATACGGAATATGCGCGCCGTGCTACTACGTATATACAGTCAAAAGTCGCGTGGGGTGACGTAGCTCCAACCCTTCGTGGAATTCTCCTTTCTCTCGTGGAAGAACGGCGCAGCTCGAAAGCGAAAGAAAGAGAGAGAGAGAGAAAGATGGGGGGAAGAGGAGCAGAGTGAAAAAGAGAGCATCGGCCACCGCACACGTCGCGTCGAACCATCGACGAGCCTTCGTGCCAAAGGCAAACACCATCCCAACCAGTCCAACCTCGATACGCCTTCACCAATGATAAGATAAAGGTTAGCGTTCTTGTGTGTGCCTGCGTGTATGCATGCGTGAGTGAGTGAACGAGCGACTCTCGCCCGTATGAGCCGACCGTAGGCGTTGCGCCGTTCCCCGCTGTCATGCGTATGTGTGCGTCGTATCATCCGCGATGCACACTCGGACTCTCGCGATAACGCTTCTTCTCCCCTCGCCTGGACGCGATTTCTTCCGCAGCCAAGCGTCCGTTCGTCATGGCGACGGCTACCGGCCGCCGGGCGATAACCAGCGACGCAGAAGCCGCGCGAGCGTAATCTCTCGTGACGCACGGCTGGTGGAATCTCGGTGAAACGAGACTTTCGTGAGTCGCAATCGCGGCAGCCTCGGCCCGCGCGAGGTTAGGTTCGCGGGGGCTCCCCCTCGCGGGGTCCATGCTGTGCGCGCGAGTAGGCGCCATCGTGCGACCGCCCACGGAAAAAGGTATATTACTTGCTCGTACGTGGGCAAACGAGCGGCCGATTCGGCCGCTGCCAGACGTTTAACCTATACGTAACGTGTATAATCACGGACGGATTTTTAATAACTGTCGACTGGTAAGAGGTGAGATGAAATTGCCGACTTGGTTGATTGAATTTACGTTACGTTGGATCGAATCCAAGATGTCGAATCGTTCCTGACCCAATCATCAGGCGAAGAGAAAACACGAGCGCGTGTATCGCGCTTTATCATTATCGGAAACATAACGTAGACTATAAAAAGCGCCGCTAGTGAGTTATGTCGATCTTTTTAGCCATCGCTGTCAGATATAGCGAATTATCAAACATCAAGCGTCACTGTACTGTTTTACTTCCCTACCAGCGACATCGCGTCTCTCTGGGAAAAAGTACATCGCGAATTCGTGGTTTTGTTTCGTCCAGTTTTGACCCGATAGTAGTATTAATTACAAATCTGGATAAAATTTTATATCTGATGGTTTTTAAAAGCTAGAAACCCATGAGTAATTTTTACTCATACTGAAAGCTTTAAATTCCTAAGCCTATGATATTTATTTTATCATCTACTCAAATGGATATCACTGTTTTTTACGAGATATCACTTGTATGAGCATATATCAGATGTTGAAAAAAGTTATCGCCAAACTTCAGGAAAACGCAGTATTCATCAAGATTAGCGAAAAAATCTTAGTAAACATAGGTTCAAAAATCATTCGTTTCAGAGATATATTTCCGTCTCTGAGTTGATAGCAAAGTAACATCCTATACGTCGGAAATGGATCGTTTCATCGCTACGGCATACGGGGTGTTCGAAAAAGATCAGGACCTTGAAATATCTAAAATAATATAAGCTTTATAAAAAATTATTTCAGACACAAAAATTTTAAGGTGTAAAAAGATCTTTTACAAAAAATATCCCAAAGTTCCGGCTTTTAAAAAGATAAAAAAGTTGTAGGATATAAAAGATCTTTTTATATTTCCATTTACAAAAAATAATCCTTATGGTGTCCCCAACAATCTCTCAGTTTGTCGGTTGTATTTGGGAATACTCTCTGTATTGAGAAACATATATACGCAATAAGCACAATATATTTAATAATTTTTTCATTGATAAAAATGTTTTATAATTTTAGAACGAATAAACCCATATTTATTGACTATTTTGATGAGTACTATCCGCTCCTGAAGAGTTTGATAGCAACTTTTTTCAACGCAACCTATGATATAACCCTAGATATAAATGTAGATAGAGAGTGTACAGATATTATAGTATATTTATCCCTACTTTAATCGTATAGTAGGTTGTCAGTATCTTTCTAGAGTTTAGGTTCCAATGAGTAAATCTTATTCACGTTACCTTTCTAGGGTTAAGAATCAAGTTATAAAACTTAGCACTTATCTTCAATTAGTCTAGAGCAAGTTATTCATGCTATATCTTTATCCTCTCACAAGTAAAATTTTGCATTTGAATAACTTGCGTTAGACTCTAATCGACCAGATACCCGCGTTCTAAAATGTGGATAACTTTTTTACGATTTATTGGTGAATCAGAGGAATTCAATTGAAAATATGCGCACGGTTGCGTATGCATATAGTATGCGTATAATTGCTTCCACAACTCGAGTTACGGCGATATGAATTGTCCAAAAAACTTTACAGAATATATAGCGAACACTGAGGCAAGGGATCGATTCGTCCCTGCTTACACGTATGATTAGGCTTGATGCTATGTGTACGCACACACGGCGTATAATGTGTGCAACATGCATGCATGTAAGCATGCATTAACGCAAGTGCGCGCGTATGGTGCACGTGTAGCACTCTCCCAGTTAGCATGCACATAAATAAGCCTGGGTTATAAACTCTAGACTGCGATTTCAACGAGTGGCGCTCTTTACTCCGAGCAAAAGATAAGTGTATGCATATACAGTTGTTTCCCGATGACCATGACGCACTTATCGTGCATCCATTCGCAACGTGTCATAGTTCACGAATTCTTTCCGCAAGGCAATAAGTTGTTATCGAGCGATACCACGCTTTCTAGAATATATGCGCCGTCGCTGACTCGAGACGCAACATCCATAAAGCTAGCCTATAAATACGAAGCACAATATACGGAAATTGTGTCTTACGTCTCTCTCTCTCCCTCCCTCTCTATTCCTCTCCCTTTCTCTCTCTTTCTTTCTTTCTCTCTCTCTGGCGGAGGCGCAACAGTGTGCCAAATATCAATCGCTAAATTAGAAACGCAGCTTGTCTACTTTACGGCCCGTATTATATATAGCCGCATCGGAATAGCATGGACAGCTGTAGGATTGTGAAACGAGGAGTTAACAACATGCGTTTGCATGTTAAAGTTCGACGCGGAAAGTAATAAAAACTTAACGCCCCAAACAAGTTCTGGCAACGACGATCGGCAAGAGTGAAATGTGCTTAACAAAATAATGCGAATTTTTGAACGACGGCCAACCTGACGAAAACTTGAGAGAATTCTGGGATCAGATTCAATTCTCTTCGCCCCCACGATGCGAGACGTTTTGCAGGCGACTGCTTGTCTCGCCTTTGCCAAGATGCCTGGACCCTTTCCTCGCGCACGAGCCAGACGAGAAGGCTGAGAAGCCGTCTAATACACTTTTTGCCGAGAATCACCGACCCTCATGCCTTTTTTGCCTCGCGCTCGCTGCTAAATTCGTGTATTCCAACATGCGCCACAGCTTAAGGGCCATGGATGTACTGGATCGAAAGTGCAAGGTGTCGCAAGTCGAGAGACATCGTTAAATAGAGACCGTGTCTCTTTTCCTCCTCATCGTTTCTATATAGAGAGTCTCTTCCGCCGGCCATGCCTGTGCATAAGTACGTGGAAGGAAGGAGAGTGCGGAAAGCGACGGCTACAACAGCCGTGTGAGCGAGCGCGAGGGAGGAAGAGAGAGAAAGAGAGCGGTCGACGTACATCATTTGGGCGCCGAGAAGTCTGGCGCGACCAGGCCAGGCCAGAGGCGCGTCTCTGGTTACGCGACTATTTGGAGCGCCAAGCTGGTGGCCGCGGCGGTGCGGCGGGTGAACGGGGATCGTTGAGAGAAGGACGGCGGGGCAGAAAGGAAGAAAGAGAGAGAGAGAGAGAGAAAGAGTAGATAGATAGGTAGAGGTAGGTAGGCGTCCAAGCGACGTCCACCATACCGAAGAGAGGCTTATACAGGGCTACGGCACGTGAGGGGAAAAGAGAGAGGTCGCCGAAGGGGCCTCCGCAGGCCACATTCCAGGAGGACGAGAGTTTTCAAACATGCCCAGCCTGCGTGAATGTAGGTCCACGACCGATCCTACAACGCACGCACACAACGATAGCTCGTAGGAGCTGCATTCGTCCCGCGTCTCGCCACTTCTCCTCATCCAGCGCCCAAGCGTTTCCCCCTATGGCGCGTCCCTTCCCCCTAGAGTGCTCTATCGCATACTATGCAGACACATATACGTACACGTAAACCTACAGCTCTCCCTTCCCCTGCCCCTTCTCCATCGTGCGTTCCCTTTCCTCGTCCCCCGCGACAACCCGGACGACCAGGCCGACCGAGCTGGCGACACCCTGTCTGGCAAGACCGGCCGGCGGACAAAAGAGGGGGAGCCCGCGCTACGTTGCCACGTCCTCGGTCTTCGTGCTGCGCCTACCTTCGGCCCCAAGGACAAATCCGACGAGCCGTGCCAGCCACACTAGGCGACTGCCGGTCTGCCGCTACCTCGATGCTTTTCCTCGACGCCCGATATTATTCTCGATAGAACTCTCGACACTTCCTCGTTAAAGTGGCGAGCGACAGAAGACGCAAACGAGCAATAGGAAACGAGACGAAGTGAAAGACACGAGAGAGCTAAAAAGACAGAGATTGTTTTGACTTCCTTTCATGCAAATTCAACGAAAGAAAATTTTCAAATGAAATAATGATGTCATTGTGATTAATATTATAACTGACATCATTATCAATTGCTCACAAAGAGAAATTGGGAGACCGATTCCTGTTCCATGGGCGTAGGTTCATGAAATGCCTAAGCGATGACGCGTGTCTATATCCCTATACGAAGGCCGATCTGCGGTGAGATGGCAGGTGCCTTCTTTCCGTGATTGCTGAGCGGACGTGTTCAAAAGAGGCTTCGCGGTGATCGGCGAGAGCAAGAATAGCCGCCGCGATTCTTGGAAATAGAGTAGGGTGCCTCTTCAGAGAAGCACGAGAGAATCCTCGCCGGCATCCTTGGTTTCTGCCGGTGGCGCGAATCGTGGAAATTTACGAGACCTCGTCCGTTTCTTTTTATCGGTCTATCTTGCTCGCGCGCTCGTTCATCGAAGTATATGCGAGCGTGCGGCGGCTTGCGTCATTGCCTCGCGGGTCTCTCTCCGCGCGTTCGTATGCGTTCGTTGCGGCCTACGTGCGGCTAAGAAGAGACATGGCAACGGCGCGTGAAGCTAAACATATTAACTGTCGGCTCACGCCACAAAAACAACATGATCTCATTCCACGGCGCATATGCAAGAGGCTAGTGTATACCTCAAAATCTCATTCAAAAGCGATTCCAGCGGCACGAGAGACAAAAAGAGACAACCAAAAGCGAGATAGATCTTCCGAGAAAAGGAACATGCATGTCAAAGAAAGGATGGAGGATTATATATAAAGAAAAGTATATTTTGTGGAAAGTGACACTAAAAGATGTCCCACAGATAGTTGAACAAATGCGTTTTAGTGTTAGTAAAAGAATAATATTATATGCATGGCATCGTACAACGATGATACGATTCCAATTCCAGTGAACCTGCTTGCCAGTGACTGTAGGCTAACACGGTCACAAGCGTTTTTCCTGGAAAATCCCTTCACCCACCAGCTGCCTTCTCTGGCTGTAAAATTTCCTGTTATAGCCGACCAGTCTGACGTACGCCTTTGATGTACATACCGCGGCGCCTGTATCTCGTACGACAAACGTCTACGACCTAATCTAAATTATATGCTTGGTCTTTCAACGAACAAGTCTCGTAATTGATTACGATCGGTCGCGATTTTCATCGATAGTGCCTCGGCTTCTGATACCTATACATGCGGTCGCGGTAACGATAAGCATGTAACAGATTGTAGAAAAGCTCGGGGCACTACATTCAGTGCGTATTCAGCCTCGTGCATCGGGAAGCTGAACGGAGGCACAATCGGCTGTTGAGGAGAAAGGCGAGCAAAAATCGAGGCTCCATGCTGGCTGCCGCGGCGAGCTGCTAGGCGACGGCGGCCGGCAGGCAGGCAGGCAGGCGTCAGACATCCACAGCAGACAACATGGCGCCGAGAGCGCCGTCGTCATGCCGGCGTGACGTTTCCCGCGCGTCATTAACGGAAGTGAGCCCAGAAAATGGCGGAGTTTTACGGCGCTGAGGTGTGAAAGGGAAGAAAGAGGAAGGTGGAAGGGGACGGTGGGGCGCCTACGTCCCGTGGACGGTCAAGCAGGCGAGCGAGGTAGGATGACGGGAGAGATTAGTCGAAAGGTTAGGTTAGGTTGCTAACGCAAAGAAAGAAGAATAACTGGTAGCCGCCTTCGGCGGTGGACTAGCGTCCGTACTGTACGAATGAGGCAACGGGGTATTGAGGGGGCGTCCACTGGATAGAAAAAGAGGAGATGACAAAGGAGACACGTTGGACGGAGAGAGCGTCAAACGAAGCAGAGGGCTCGAGTGGGGATACGTAGAAGAGAGGCCGAGAGAGTGCGAATGGAGAGGCTCGAGCGAGTGAGAAAGCGATCGGCGACGGTAGAGGGGAATACTGTTCTCAGTGGGAAGCGGTCGCAGTTCTCGCGCCGGTGTGGTGGGGCTGGAAATTAGTTGCGGCATCTACCAAGACCTAAAAGGAACTCCGGCGCCGTACGGCCAAGCCACTTCGTGCAATGTTACGCGTCAAGGTATACTCGTGCGTCGTTCCCAGTGCCGGTTTCAAAGCTCACAGTGGTTGCTGTCGTCTCTGTCGTCACTGTTATAGGCGGACTCGTCGTTCTTGCGGTCAATTCGACGGTCGTCGTTAAATGTGTAATGTGTTAAACGAAGACACTATGACCTGCGATTATGGTGTAAGTAAGGTACTCAGTAAAGATAGTTCAATACAAATAATGCACTCAGAGCAACAGCAATCAGTGCATCGACAACAACAGCAACAAAACGCACGAAAAGTTGGCGTCATGGGTAGTAGACGTATTTTTCCGCCGTCTTTTAAGCTCAAAGTTCTGCATTCCTATAGGAATGACATGGACTGTCGCGGTAATCAGCGTGCCACCGCACGGAAATATGGTATACATCGTCGGCAGATCCAAAAGTGGCTGCAGTGTGAGGAAAGTCTGAAAAATTGTGCCGAAAACGGGAACACCAGGCCGGCCTCTACGTCGACGACAGATTCTTCCGCGAGTGTTTCAAAATCAGATAGTGCGACAGAAACCACAGGCCCTGCAGGACCTGCTGCTGTTGCAATCCCAGTGGCGCCGGCCTTGAACCTTAACGTTGCCAGACTGCACGGCGACGAGCTGACTACACAGCAGAAGTCCCCGCCCCCTGCTTCCCCTCCGCATCTTCCGCGTTGTAGTACATCCCCTTCGACCCGCCTTCGGACTGTTCCCAAAAGCGTGTTTTTACAAAGCGTCGGGCCCGTGAGATACTCACAATACTCTTCACCGTCCGACCGAAAACATCTATATCGTAAAGCGGAGGACACGGTGCACAAGCAAGAGATTTACTATATGGACACAAAAATGGATCGGAATCGTGATCACGGAGACGAACCAACAACGCATGTGGAAACAACACAGTTAGTGCTCAGTGGTGATAGAAATGAGATAGTGCCACATGAAGATGTTAGGATGTACTATTGGCCATCATCCGCCGAACATAAGTATATTGTGAACGATATCGACGTGAGTGCCCATCCTCAGTGTCAACATCAAGAGCATCATCACTCGCCGAATCATTGTCCACAGAATTACGGAAACGTTGACTTATTCAACGGACATTTGTATGATTTGATAGGAGCACCGTTGATAAAGACTGAGCCAGCTAGCCCAGACTCAATGGCGACGTCAGGGCCGTACGAGCCGGCCGGCTCGCCTGATGATCAATGGGCCCCACAGTCGCCCACGGTATCACATCAAGTTGCCAATAACAGCAGCGGCTCCTCGTCGTCCGCTCACTTTAACTCCGCGGCGGGCCCCTCATACGTAGACGTGCACGTGCATGAACGCTCGCACACGCACACGTTTTCTAGTACGCCGTACCCGTTGTCGCGCCTGCATCAGCAGGAGAGAGAGTCGGAAGAGATGACGAGCTACACCAAAGAGGAGGGAGAGCAAAAGGAAATGTTAGAGCATTACAAGAAAGTGATTAAAGAAGAGAAAGAGGAGTTGTTTGATGTTGAGGTATACGACGAAAGACAAGAGGACAACAAGTCCCCGTACATCGACGTAACCGGCTATACATCGATGGACAGCTCGTCTCTGGGAAACGCACCCATAATCGCGCCGGAAATCGAACTGATTGATCTGGAGGATCAATCGCCGAGTTCTAGCGATCCTGCCAACTCCGGCGGATCCAGCAGCACCTCGTCGGACAGTGAGATAGAGTTCATCGATTGTGTTGCCGACAATCAAACTTCATCTGATAGCATTCAAACTCACAGACAGCAACTTCGGCGATCTTTCCCCTTGCGCTTCAAACTCAGCGTGCTCGACGCCTTTCACAACGACCCCGATGTGGCTGGAAACCAACGAGCCACCGCGAGAAAATTCGCCATAAACCGTCGCCAGGTGCAGAAGTGGTTGTTAAAGGAGACGGAACTCAGGGAAGAGATCACACTTCGAGGGGACTCGCGTCAACGACTAGCTCCTGCCCGGGAAGTTTTCGTCGAATCGCCTATAGATCTGACAGTAAGCCAGTCTGCTTCTTCGGACCACAGTCGGCCTTCGTCTGGTACAGGTCTGGAGACAGAGTATGAGCAATCGCCGAAACATTGTTGTGAAACCCTCACTTCTCAACATCGTCCATATTGTCCTTACATCGAGGTTCTTACATCTGCCGAGGCAATAGAGTCTGTACAACTATCTTGGATTTTACCTTGCTACGCAGACAGACATACTACAACATCGAGAACATCTTCCTGCCAGGATCTGTCTTTAAGAGGATCTCACAGTGAATCGCCGAATGGTCTGCACTGCTACTCGCCTAAAGATTATTCGGAATTCTACAATAATCCTGAGGAACCCCCACCTTCCTCGAAGAGGCAAGCTTCCTCATGGGACAACGCTCCTTCGCCGAAGAGATTTTGCCCAGACGACACGGCTTCACGAAACACACCCACGCAACAAGATAGACCTCTTTGCCTCGTAAAGCCGAAAAGAGCTTGGCTAATGGCCTCCCGAATGGAGGCGCTTGCTAGATCAACTCGCTCTGAGTTGGACGCATCTCAGCCCGCATCAACTTCGGCTACGGATGACGGCATTCTTTACAAACCCTACCTGGACAATCCTGTATGTAGGCCCACGAGTAACTACGCCTACCAACGCGACCCATCTCCCAATACTCGGCAGAATATTATCAATAACAATAACAGCAGGAATACCAACGGTGGAGTTGACGAGAACGACATCATTCACTCCCCCTACACTTGCAGCACGAACCAGGACAGGCCCTATTTCAACCCGCGAATGCCGTGCACTTGGGGTTTACCACTACACCCATGCGCCCATGCTACGTGCAATTTTCAACAAACCAGTGACACATTTATCAGGTATCCATTTACCAACTATCAAAACCCTATTATGCCTAGTAATGGTGGCTTATGCAACTCTCGTCTTCAGTTTCCTTACGAAGCGCGAACAACGAGAAGTCATGGTCTCACGAATGCGGTGATCGATCACAACAATCCACATGGCTTTGTGATCTCGGGGCAACCGCATCACCTCATCGTAGACCAGGAAGAATTGTTTCACGATTACGTCAAGTCGCTGTGTAGTTAATTATTCTAAGTACACCAATATTTTCGACCGCTCGGGATAAGAATTTGCCGGTGAAGAATCGATCTGTACGTGATCCGCGACACGTAGCGAGCCACGTAAGCGCTTATCATTTCCGCAGATCGGCCGGTGTCGCGTTATACATCGCGATAAAGTCTTAATCGGCCATTGGACGAGTCGAGGCGTGGAAGGAGATTATACATGGTCGCGTCCTCGGCTGGCGTCTTCTTCCAATTCCGCTAGACTTTCTCAATCTCCTCCTTCCTACCCCGCCGTCTCGTCTCGTTTCACAAAAAATCGTGCAGATACCCCGGCAGATTCTTTTTCGCGGTCTTATCGTCGAGATTAGAGCCCGCTGGTTATCGGCTAGGCCGTTTAGAGGTCGAATGCGTTCGCTATAATTATAAAATTATGTCAGCGTGGTTGTCCGTTGCGACGCATCCAAAGGAAGAAAATCTGCGAAAAGAATTGTTCAGGCCAAAGCTACATTTCTCGCGTGTAACGTGCCACGGATTTGTTTAAGAAATTCCGACAATTTTGATGTCCATGCCGACACGAGAATCGTTTTCGGCGTTATTAGGAGTTTTCCGGATTTTCGCATACATTGCTTACTTGTTAAGGAATCACGAGGAAACCAGAACCATCCTCTGGATGATTTTATCGTGACTGTAGCTGCTCCGTATTATTTGACGAAGCGTCATGTGACACGAATTCTTTTGAACGACGGTTTCTTTCGGTGAAATCACATTTTAATATTTCCATGATATACTGTATCATTTTCAGTCCAATTTCGGTTTTAGTTAATTAGGGTAGTTTAGTTAAACTTTTTTCTTCTTTAGCTTTAATTATTTTAGTGTAATGTGTAATACATTGTTGAGTCTTAAGTATAGTTTAACTTCTATAGTTTAGTTTTATCGATTTAGATTTCTTGAAAAAAAAAAAAAAAAAAAAAAAAAAATTATAAAAAATAAAAAAAAATATATAAAATTATAAAAATGTAAAAAAAAAATGATTAGAAAAATTAAAAAATAAGATATATTCAAAAGTATCATTAAATCGCGTGAAATTATAAAAAAATTAAAAAATTCGAAACCGTCATTAAAATGCACCAAATTACCAAAAAAAAGAAATTCGAACCAAAAACAAATAATTATTAAATTGTATAAAAAGAGGGTATCAAAACATATACTCTATCATTAGATCGCATGATGCCAAAGTTGTCGGAATTTTATTGTTTTTTACAGCATAATACATAATAATTTGAAGTGAGCATGGAACATTCCCATCAGGTGAACATTGTTTTGTTTTATTAGAGGACATTGAACAAATTTAAATCTCATTCCGTGATATTGCTGACGAAATCTCCCTGGCATATTTATATTCGAGCAAACAGTCATTTCGGTTTCTCATATCGGTGTTTCATATCTCGCTAGTAAAGTACGGATGCATTGCATCAGACAAAAACGGGAAAAAGTGAAAATGAAAAATGATTTCGGGACACATTTTCCCGGTGTTCCACGGAAAGCTACGTCGGAAAGAAATACCGGCGGGCGTTAATTGCATAACTTCTTGGTAACGCGACACGCCACTTCATGAGAGATTTTCCGCGTTCTGGTCGCGCGCACTCACATTCGTCACCGACCGCGAATCCGCAATCGATCTCTGCACGGCGATCATTTAATTGCTCAAACAATTTCTTCCATGTGCGCAACACGCGCGAACTACTTAGTATTACAACACTATCCTTGCTCCCTTAGATCCCGCGACTTCAGTGTCCGGCCTAACTAGCCGAACGGCGAAATTTTCCAGAAAAAACCTAATGGCAGAATTAACGGTAAAGTTGTCAATTATGCGCCACTTGTCTCATCCCCAAAAACTTTTCGGTCTCGTTTCTCGAGAAAATATGTAAATAGCACATTGTATATACATTATCACATTGTGATATTTTTTGAGGTTTTCACTGTGTCCATTATTAGATTTAGTTCCCGTTTGAGCCGTGTAAGTTCTTTTTTGCCTTATTCCAACGTTTCGCGGACATTTCAGCTCATCCTTCCTGATGAAGCGAAATGTTCGGAGGCAAAGAGTTGCTCATGCGGCTCAAACCCGGAAACCAAATCTAATATTATCATGTCAATCATGAACATAGATGATGATACATTACGCCGCACAATAATCGGCAAGGTCTGATATGTTAAGTAAAACACATAGAAAGGATTGAGAAGACGCACGAATTGAAATACAATTTTACCGTTAATTTACATCGTTGGCCATCTAATTAGACGGATATTGAAGGGAGGACTTTCATTTTTCGGTAATTGTTGTCTTTTTCCTGTTTTCTCTTTTTCTTTTTTCTCTTTTTCTCATTACCTCTTCTAATAAACGCGCGAGAATCGTTTGATTTTTAATTATGCGTAGAGAGAGAAACGCTGCCTGATCGCCGTCGGCCAGCTTTTTACTTAGCATTTAATGTAAATATCAGTATCATTATTTAGAAAAATACGATCTAATGTTCTCTCGCAGATAAAACAGGCTATTTTTGTACGATCGCTCGGTCGAGAGAATCAGTGAAAAGAGAGAGAAAGAGAACAAGAGTATGTGAGAAAAAGAAATATTTGAAAACTCGAGGCGATATAAGTCATAAGCACTTCCGCCAGAGACCACCTCGTGTGCCTTTATTTCGTAGATGTAAACCAAGCCAGAGGCGATCACGATGCATTGCAAAAGGACGTGCGCACGCACGTAGATTTATTTGCAATCGTATAGCAGTAAATAATCCGCGGAAGACCATAGATTCGATAGATAAGAGCGTAGACGAATTCGCTCGCCGTGCGCCTCGCTCTCAGTGTATTAATTTGCCAAATAATGACAAAGACTGATGGCGCGGTACGCTGTGCACGCGATTAATAATTCGCCCGTCGATGGGACATTTGAGAGCGAACGGCACGTCATCGCGCTCGGCGAAATTCCCGGTCGAGGCGAGGAGGAAGGATCAAAAAGACACATACGGCTATGCTGACAAAATTCACGTGCCTTATATTGTTATATATATATGTTAGAGCGTATGCGGCGTGTATCATACCCTTGGTTTTATACCAGCGGTATGTTGTATAATACGACATAATATTATATATATCTCGCCGAAATATTGTATATATGTAGCGTATGGGAGGGAAAACGCGACGGCAAATCGCACGACACGCGTGGGGCGGCAATCTCATGAGAGATCGCGACGTGAGCTCTCGCAGGATTTTGCCGCATTTTTTGTTCTCTCTACGGGATCCCATGTCGGAATCGTGTGAGTTCCCGTTTATAGATTTATCGTCGCGTGCCGGACAAAAAGTCGGGGTTACACTCAGAAAAAAATACTTGAAAATTTATTTGCGAGGTATAAAGTTGATTCGAGAGGATAAACGTTATTTCATAGGGACAAACTTTATTTTATAGAAGTAAATTTTATTATTTTGTAGAAATGGACATGATCTTTTTACAGAAATAAACTTTATAACTGTCAAGTAAAGTTTCAAGTATCTCTCTCTCAGTGTACGATGATTCGAGCGAGATCGAGAATCACACGCGCCTCGTATCAAGCCGAGTTTATCGTAAAAAATGTTGTACATAACAAATAGGTTTCGATGCAATATCTCCGATGCACGGCTCGAGCACTCCTGTCGTCGAAAGTGTGCTGAAAGCGTGCGGTTGGACAATCAACAACGATATATGAATGTCCTTGTCGACTTGGGGCGTCTCTTTCCCTTGTTAAGGGGACAAAAAGACAAACAACTAAGAAGCAGGGGGTACTTTTATGAGCCTCAGAAAACCTTAGAAGTGAAGGATCATTGTGAGGATTTTAGACCAAGTTCCATAACATCCGTTTAATTTTAACTACCAGTTAAGTCCCAATAGTGATTGGTTAATTCTGATTGACTCTTCTTAATGTCAAATGCGATTGGTCAAGTTCATTGGAATAACCAGCCAGTTAAGTTAACTGAAGGTTGTGGAACTGGGCCTTAGAAGTCAAAAAAGAGAAAGTTACTTTGAACAAGTAGTGAAACTTTTTCTCGTGCATTTTCTCTATTCATAAATTCTCTATTCATTGTGAGTGTTTTTGTGAAAAACGATACAAATACATTGCGGCTGTCCTTTTTCTTTATCGTTTCGTTTTTGTGTCTTTGTAAAGATGACGCATTTACAATATCTGCTTTCCAGTGTTAGGACCCGAGAAGATAACAAGATAAAGAACTCGAGAAAATATACTGAGAAAAGAAATATTTGAAAATTTATTTTGAATATATAATTTATTCATAGAAATAAACTTTATATTCCAGAAGTAAATTTTCAAATATTTTTTCTCAGTGTATATTAGGATAGAAAATCGTTAAAGTGCACATTACGAAATCAATACTTTTCAGATGCTCGATGCTCAAAGCAGCATTTACCATGCCTTAGCGTCACTTGAGAATTTGTTCGGATAGTCAAAATTACTTGTTAAAGAAGGAAGTATAGTTTATATTACATACATATATTATATAGTTTATATTACATATATATTATATCGCATAAATCGTGACCTTAAAAAAGAAACTTATCTCAAAGTTGCAATTTATAAAATTACAATCTTCATTGCGATTTCTTTCCCGACGCCGGGGCTTCTTTCAGGCATGACACGGCTGTTTCAATATTTGTGAGGAATTTGATCGATTGATACGTGGAAGTTGGAAAAGAAGCGCGCCGTACTATGATCGCCTACCTGTTAGTATCGCGTGTGTGTGTTTCTTTTTTTTCGAGCTGTGAGCTCGATATCGCTCGCAATCTAATGTGTGAGCTCCTTTAGCATCAGCCAACAATGATTCACAAAGGTTTCCCTCTGATAATTCGCCAGCAAGGTCGAACGCGAAAGAACTCGCTTATCTTCTCGAGAATCGCGGGAATGCTCAGCGGACGCGCGCGCGTCTCGTCGACGGATGGCGCCGATTTTCGCGCACTGGCAACGCGCTCATATGAGTGCGGAGGAGCGACAGTTCCAGGTCGTTCCTCTGCCTGAAGAAGCGAACCGGCATTTTCGCGAAACGTCGGAAGCAAATCCACGAAGAGCCCGGCCTAAGCCAAATCAAACGGTGCATTCATATATTTGCGACGAGCACCTGCACGCGATAAAGCTATTGTTATTCCCGTTTACGTTTCATCTTCTCCATGCTGTACGCGTGAAAGTAAATAAACGAACTGCCCGGAATTAGGTGCATAATCGGCCACGATTATTCGCGGCCTACTAATTCTCTCAGCCGGTAAATTCGCACGTGAGAGGTAAAATGGTGTCTTCCGCTGTACGAATCCAATAAAGTCGCGTCGGGCTTCGCAAGTTGAAAATCGGTGAGCTCGTTTCACTACACAGAATATATGCTGCATTTCAAGTAAATATTACTTATTTTTGCAAGTATTTAATAACTTTATACAAATCTATACGGAAAAGAAAATTGATCAACTTTTGGCCAAATACAAACGATTCAGAAATATCGATTAAAAGTATCAGAATTCCTGAATCGTTCATATTTCATCAGAAGTTAGTTCGTCCAATCAAATGTTTTTTTCCCGTTTAAGTCCATCATAAACATCAAATTGACTCAAAATATATTCTAAATGTTAGCATTTAGACTTAGCATTTCAACCAAGAATATTAAATCAAAATAGAAAATCTACTTACTACATACATTGAAAAAAAAAATATTTGAAAATTCATTTGTGGAATATAAAGTTTATTTCACAGACAAATAAATTTTCTCACAAATAAATTTTTAAGTATTTTTTTCAGTGTAGAGTTGAATAAATTTCTTTTTTTTTTTCAATAAAGTTCTATGATATTTTTGTAAAAAAATCAATTTTTTTTTTGAGTATACAATAATAGATTCTCCTAAAATTTATGATAAGTAGACCGAGAAAAATACTTGAATTTATTTATAGATTATAACGTTATTTACAAAAATAAATTTTATATTTCACAAGTAAATTTTCAAGTATTATTTCTCAATGTATATTTTTTTCTTGACAGGTCACTGTCAAGAAAATATTCTTTATCGAAGGTAATTTTATTTAAAAGAAGAGAAACAAATCGAGTAATCGATTTTCTCAGCATTAGAATGATATTTTTCTGTGTGCACATAGATATCTGATTTGTTCATGTGGAAAAATCCAATTCGTTCTTCTTCTCCCACTTCCGTTCTTAATCTTCGAAGTAATCATGACCAATAAATCCACGATGTTTGTAGGCCGCGCGAAGAAGTGATTCCATGATGGATCCTCTCTATTTGTTCCATTCAATTTCAAGAAAATAATACACAGACAATAGATACTGTGGATTAATTCAGACTTGTGAGTATATTTCGTGCTTGATAAGTGCCGCGACGACACCTCGAGAGATCGCGCAAATCGTAATTATCACAAGTAGTTTGATATGCCGGCTGGATTTCTAAACAACCGAGCTGTTGCCAAGCGACAGCCAAGAAGGGCAATTCTGTAAATCACCGCCGCAGACAGGGCAGTTACGTTAATGTTTCAATATTCACGCTTAATCGAGCTCATTCGTGGCGTGCATTATCCAACGTGATTGCCCGCGCGCAATCGTTCCATACCGAGCTCTAATTTATCGTCTCACGAGTGATAAATCCCTGATGTGATAGTTACACGTAGTAATTACTCCCACGGCGACGTGGATCGTTACGATCGAAAGAAATATCTCACCCTCTCGTATGTCTCTCTTCGGACAGAGAGAAATGCCGTGGATTTCCGTGCGATTCTTCACCAGAAGAATCCCTTCAAATGTCTCGAAAACCGCATAGAACCAACTTCTCGTTCATTGAATCATTATTTAATAAAAGAAAGGGATCTCGCGTTCTCTCTTCTTATCGCAGCATAATTTCCCAGCTGAACCCACGAATGGAGGGAGGGGAACAGGGGGAAGAGACGAGCTCGACAAGGGAAATAGGATCGTGCCTTGCTTGCAGTGGTCAAGGCGACAGTGTACAATAAAACTTAGCGTAATCGTAAGCCATAATGAATTACATAATGCCATAACGTTTTACATAATAAGGCGTCGAATGACTGACGAAAGGAGCGTGCTCGATAGTGCGAAAAATAAGCCGGAGTGCCTTAGGTACGCGTGTACGTTAATGCGTTAGTCTGTACATAGTCGTGCGTGTGTACGTATGTACGTATGCGTGCGTGTGTGCGTCCTGTCGTATGTACCACAGCCCACAAGAGTCTATTAACAAGGTATAAGGCATGTATAAATAGTATTTTCTAAGGAAAGTGGGGGAGTCTCGTGGGCGAACCCCCGCGTTTTATAGTCCGCGTAACGAGCAAATAAATGTATCGTAAGTCTAAATGTTCACATCGTTCATATCTGTACAAAGAGAGAAAAATTTATACGTGTATATATATATATGTAAAATATGTTCGCAAAGAGGAAAAAACTATAAAATTAGAGAGAGATCAAAGCACATATAGAGATATATCTATATATATATCTATATATATATATACATACGTCAAAAGTTATATTTTGATACGATTATCTTATACGACGAACGCGCCTTTCTAATATCACATCCCGGTGCCTTCAAATCGCTCGTGCCTTACGGAGTTTCCCGCGCGAGGAGGAATCCAAAAACAAACAAAACGCATCCGTCGCAACGCTTGTCGCGCCTTGTGACGGGAGTTGCGAGATTCTCCTGACGAAATTATACAAAGAACGATAAAAAAAAAAGGAGAGAAACAAAAGAACAACACGTAAGAAATACACCACAGTGCTCTTCTCCCATGCAAGCGCACTGAGAGGAAAAATATCTGGAGAATTAAACAATATTTTGAGAACACTAAGAACACATTTGTTTGTACTAACATACAAATTCTAACCAAATTTCTTCTCTATTGGTGTAAATGCCTTTTATATTTACATTTTCAGAAAACCATAGCCTTTGACAACAATTTTCCATTGTATTTAAACAAGAGAACGTAGATTCAAGTTTAAAACCCGCAAAATAAATAACTTTTTTTAAATTTATTAGGTATATTTCCTCTCACACAGTGCGTAATATATCAGTATTCGAATTATTCCTTATTTATTATATAGTCATGTGTCCGCGACGTGCAAGGATCCTTTCGATCCTGCGAAGGACCCCCGAGACCCCAAGCGAGTTTCATGCGAGTCTTCGTCGCTCGTCATCGTCGTTGTCGTTTGTACGCCTTCCCCGATCGTGCACTTTGCGAAAAACTTCGAATCTCCCCGTGTTCCCTCCCGTCATCGTTGCGTGATAATCGTTTTAATTGCGTTATCTCGCGTTTATTGACACGCGCGCCAACTCGGTAAACTTCGGTCGAGAAGGAAAGAGACACGCAAGAAAGAGAGACACCCAGCAGCATATTCGGCAGCTCAAAGCACGACAGTTGAGAAACACAACGGTCCAACAATTTAAGAAAAACAAAATACTCTCGCCTCACATATAATTGCCAGCAGCGAGTTCGAGACGCGAGGGGATTGTTAAGAACAACATTATCAGTTCGGTGCCGTTTTATCGCGTCGTTCGCTTGTACGAGCTTTTTTCTCATTGATGAGTTTCGTCCGAAACGACCATATCCGTTATTGTGATTCATCGGGAGGAAGCGAACGGGAGAATGAGAGAAAAAGAGTGAAAGAGAGGGAATGCGTGTGCGAGCGTGTGTGTGTGTCTGTGTGTATGCGTGTGCGCGTGCACGCGCGTGTATATAGGAAAGAGAGGAGTGAGAACGAGTATGGATCTTTGTGCTGCGACAGGAGTGTGAGAGAAAGGCATCGAGTGATACGAATCCTCCTTTAGTTACGTTCGGAGACGCAGAGAGATCATTGTAATTAACACTGGATTACTCTTCCTATTTAATTTAAACTCATCCGCGGGGTGTGTCCTCCGCGCACCCCACCTCCCCCGCCCGTTCCCTCCGCCCTAAGCGCGCGTGTGTGTGATCCAGAGTTAAGTATTGTATTATATTTGAGAAGAAATATAAGCGATTGTTAAAAAAAAGAAACAAACAAAAAATAAAACAAAACAAAAAAGAAACCCAGACGTTGTTCATTCTCCCTGCCCGACGAATTTATCGTCTTTAAGACGCGTGCATCGCGCAGTCCATCCATTAATTTGCCGGCGGAGTTTTCGCAAGACGCCGTCCGTCGCAGACGTGAGCTGAAACAATATTTTTGCCTCGATAATTTGAGCATTATAATTCGAGACGGTCAATATATAATTTTCCGCGGGAAACACGTTCGTTCTCTCCTCGCGTGGACGAGTCGCAAATTCTCTTCTGGAGATCGCAATTCGCGTACGATTCACGCGTACGAGAAGAAAGGAGAAAAAGAGATAAGTAACTCCCTTTGTGATAGCTTCGCAACGTTCGTCGCTTGGTTCGCCAGTATCTCCTGGACAACGTTATCGGTCACACCCGACGTTCCCATCGACCCGACGATTGAAGACCGAAGTGCATTTTTCTTTTTCACTCTTAGCGCCGACTCTTCACGCCTGCGGAAGGAAGTACGTTTGTATTGCCGCGTTTGACGCAACAACCGTTTCTTTCGCCGTGTTATGATTCACGAAGAGTGTCCCTCTCTTTCTCACGCGGGCTCCACAACCGTGCAGCCGCTTATCTTCCGGCCGAGAGCGTTTCAACGGTTACGTGGTGTACACGAGAGAGAAAAGAGTCTTATTCCCGGGTCTACATCGATTCATTTCCGCTCGAATCGCGGAACAATAAGCATAACCGGCGCACTCGTAATATTCCGAACCTCTGGCTGAGGCTGAGGTATTTTTCGCAACTCTTAACTCAGATCAAATTAATGCATAATTTAATTAGGTGGGCGGACTTTATTAACCCCGACTCTGATTGGTCATATAAGTTTTACTTTAGTTGTATACTTATGGGTCGACTACAAATGCGGTCGCGGTTACGTTTCAAAGTCACAGTGCTAGTCTGTGAATCGATCATCTATTTCTTTCGCGTAAACTCGTGAAAAATGAAAAGTTTCGTTGAAATCGAATTCAATAATTACGCGAAGGGAATAGACATATGATCGATTCACAGGCTAGTGCTGTAATTTTAAAACGTAACTACGACCGCATTGCGGAAAATCCTTTAGGGAGTCTGCTTGTACAGCCTGCATCCCGAGTAAAATTTCGCCATTATCGGCGCGTTCGAGCCTTTTGCGCTCGGGAACGACTCTTATCGCAACGTCGATAAACGCCACGTCCACGTCTCTATTTCGCAATGTCACGGTCTCGCCGATGAAATTCATCTTGTCCTATGAGTCTTCTGCGTGCAATGACGCGTAGCGTGAGCGCGATTAGACTCGAAAAGTATACACAATTATTGTGTTGAAGACCGTTGTCGTGCTTATATTTAACAGCCAAGTGGATCGCGTAATCCCCCCTCTTATCTCTCTATCTGATAAATTTCACGCTGAGAGGCCTTCGCGAACAGTTCCTGCATCGCGCCGACATCGGCCGCGAGCGCGAAGCGGGACAAACGGAGCCGGAGGTAATCGGTCCTCGAGCAAAATACCAGGACGAGATCGTGTTCCTCGCGCAATTAGCGATTTACGTAATTTTGCAGGCGATGCATGCGCGAGAGCGAGCGAGCCGCGTGTCCGTGAGTCGCGTTCTTCGTAGAGGAGGCCCCGCGGGCGATATCTCGAGCTCGATATTCCTCCGTGTGAGATGGATTAAAGGCGCGACGGAGATAAGCGCGTGCCAGCTCATAGGAGCTCACGCACATCGGCTGTCGTTCGCGATGCGTCGATGCATTGTTTCCGTTATCGCGGCAGCCAACATTGGCAGCCCGCGGCGAAACGGCCGTGTGCGTGCCGATGGAGAGTTGCACTCGCCGGGCACGTGCACTCGCGCACTCGCGATTCGCGTAACGCAGAAGTGCCACGCACACGTGAGCGTTCCGCGGCGCATTCGCGCGAATGCCAAGGAGAGCCGCGCGCGCGGCTTTTCCCCGGGTTCTTCTCGTTTTTCCACGACGGAAAGTCTCGCGCTCTCCATATAATAATAATAACACTCAGCGGGTGTTATCGCCAATCGCGCCACTGTGTCTTTCTCTATTTATCTATCATTCGGATCTGGCGAATACGCACAGAGAACTATATCGTTCTGCTGCTAAAGAAAGCAATTACTCAATTTATACTCTCCTTCCTTCGAGTATCTTCAAGTTATCTTTATCAAAGAATCTTCTCTCGATGATAATCTCAGAATATACTCATTACAAATTTTAGAATAAATCGTTGTGTGCTTAAATGTAAAATTTATTCTTTCTTCCCGAGGATATTATGAGACTGTATTTAAGACGTCGATTCGATTCTGCGTGATAAGTGAAGCTTTGTGTTAATTTCATATTCTTGAGTGAAATGCTCAACTTATTAGGATTCGGAATGTACTTTGAGTAAACTTAAGGCTTTTCGTTTTTTTAATGAAAAGTCTTACACTCTTGATGATAATAACACTGCACGGAAAAAAATTTGGTTATGGTATTAAAAACTTCTTTGAAATTTGCGAAAGTAGTAGACGTAGAAACAAGGATATTAATTCTCGAGAAGAAAGGATAAATTCTTCATTTGCACACAATAACGAACTATTCTAAAATTTGTGATAAGTATATTCTGAGATTATCATCGAGAGAAGATTCTTTGATAAAGATAACTCGGAGGAAGGAAATTAAGTAATTGCTTTCTTTAGCAACAGAACGATATAGCTCTCTGTGCGTATTCGCCAGATCCGAATGATAGATAAACAGAGAAAAAATTTTTGGCGAGATTTGAACGAACCAGAAATCTAGTTGAAATTACCAGAATCTTGTTTAAGTTAACAAGACTTCTAGTTAACTTGAAAGTTGCAAGTTCTGCTTAATCAGAAATCCTGTTAACTTGAATAGAATTCTGGTAACTTCAATTGGAATTTCTGGTTCATTCATATTTCATCAGACATTTTATTACTCCAATCCAATTTTTTTTCCGTGTAATATCTTGTGTTATCGCGAATCGCGCCGCTAAATCTCTTCTTCTCTCGGATTTGGCGAATACAAAAAGACCCGTCGACCCCGATTTTCGCGGACTTACGTTCGCGGGATTATCTCGCATACGGGACTTGAGATCTCGCACGATCGCGCACAACGATGTGGAGAATGCACGCCGCATAGTTGATTCCTGCTATGTAAATGCATGATTTATCGCCGATGATTATCGTCGCGCGAGTCCGGTAACAGGGAATAAAACGCTCACTATTAAAAGGAAAGGAAAATATTAAGTGAATCATGCATTTTCACGCGCACTAACACGCCGTCTCGGTCGTAGACTAACGGTGGCAGTAATGTGAAATTAGTAATGAGCAGTTGGTCGTCGCGTGCAAACGGCTGACGAAATATTAATTTTACTTTTACTCTGCAATTGCAGGCCGCGCATTCGTGACTTTAGGTCGCGTACGCGTCAAAAGCATTCTTATCGATTATCCCTTTCATAAAAAAGAAAAGAGTATCAATATTCAGAGACCAGAACACATGTAGAAAAAGTTTCATCTCCCATCCCATCGTAGAGTCTCTCTATACGAATTCCTATATTGGTCTCTGAATTAAAAATACTCCAGGACACATTTTCCCCAACTGCAAACTCAACACTCGCGTATTCCTTTATTATTTTATGCATTTTGTCGTATGAATTGTATCGTTCAGCTTGTACACGTTCGTGTTCGTGTTGCAATGTGAGTGACTCGATGCCAATGCACCTGAGCAGATTAAACAATCGTTATCGTGCACGACAGTTAAACGCACAGCAGATGAAATTTGTTCCCTCCTTTCTCTGTCTCTTCCTCTCACTTGAAATAAGTAAAATGCGCGTGTAGACTGATCATGTCTGTCAAGCGCCTCGCTGCGATATACTGAGAAAAAACATTTGAAATTTTGTAGTTGTATGTAGGATATCAAGTTTACGCGCAAAAATAAACTTTATATCCCACAAATAAAAATGTTCCAGTGTTTTTTCTACAGTGTAGTTTCCTGTTTTAACAGCGGTGGAACAGTCGACTCTTCGTTTTACCAACTGTGTGTCTTGTAGTTCGGTATAGAGTAGGTTCTTAAATTTTTTTGCTTGCACAATAAAGTGGAATTCATCGGAATTTTTTTTGTACGCGTTCTTCAATTCTCAGGTTAAATTATACCAATTGCGCGCGAAGAGACGCACGCGTTGTCTGTTGCATCATTTATGATGCGGCATAAAATCCCATTTAAAGCGGGAAGTCGACTGGGAATGTGGATCCGTCGAATGACGGATTTGCCGATGCCTCTCTCTTTCTCTCACTCTGTTAAACCGACATTAATAACAACGTCAGCCGTTTTTTTTATTAAGGCCATCGCGTGCGCGCAAAGCAGACCTTGAATCGAAGCATGACTGTTGCAACGCGTCAATCAACGGCAATAAATGTCACTGGTTGGTGCGACGCTATTAGGAAGGGTGCAGTAGCGCGATGCAAAGGAAAGAAAAAAAAGAGGTCTCGGTGGCTCCAACGGAATGCAACATTCTGGCCGCATTATATGATCAAGAAAGGTGCGTCGTCGCGAAGATTCATTCGGGGAAACTAAAAAAGCACGACGAGGGATAATTACAGTAGACATTAATTCACGATAGATTATTAATTTTACTCAATTATCTCACACTATCGCCTCACAAGGACTCTGTTATGTACGGAATTTCTAATACAATCGTATAAGATGATCCAAATTAAAATTGTGATACATAATCGTGCATTCATATTTACTGTAATTATAATCTGTCGTATCTTTTCGTTTCGGGGTCCTGCTCTTCCCGATTTGACCGTCTTGTTGAAGTTATAAGTCGATGCTCGAGCCATTCACGATTCAGTTCAAGTCCGAGGATGGAGATGACATCATGCGCGTTTCGAAAAACGACGCGTTGCGAGTAATGATGCACGGCAATGTGTGATAAGAGATAATCGCGAATTGAACGGCTCGCTAGTTGTTCAGTTGGATAGTACACTCGGCGTCATGAATACCCAACCATTTACTAGGTCACGAATTATTAGATATTTTTGACTGGGTGCATTCGTTTCTACATCATAGCTTTCTATATATCACTAGATTATCAGCTATCTTATATACGATATCAAAACATGAAGCCCGAAATGTATGTATTACACATCCTACCTCTCTCTGCAAGAAGAGGTGCTAAATATATAATATGGTTGACACTTACATATGTGTCTTCAATCAATCAGACGTGACAATCCAACTTACACATCACCAATTATCTCACTAACATACTTCTTACATGACATATACACATTAGTTCAGTACATATTTTTCGGAGCCATATTATGCATCTCACCTATCTGTGTTCTACATACGCATTTATTATGGTTGTTTTAAATAATATATAAATAAATGTTGAAAATATGTAACGAAAATATTACAAAATTTATATGCCGGAATACCATATACCTATTATTTACTGTGAAAATAATATGGCTTTAGTATGCTTTGTGACTCAGACAGCCAATGAAACGAAACTTTTCGTCTCTCTCTAAGGCTCTAATGAGGCCGAGTGTACCCCCAAGTCGATTCGCGCCGACCGGAAATACGAAAGCGTACGAAAAGGACTTTGGCGTCGATCCAACGTGTTGAGAGATGTTCCTCTGTTTGCGGGACATGAAGCAGTAGACGGACGAGAGTCCGAGACTTCGGCGATGATTCCTTCGGTGCGTCGACTTTCCGCGCGGCTCGTCTCACCTCAACTGCAAGGTATGACACGGCGGGAAGTGTGTCGCGAAACGTGAAATCGGCGTGTTTTATCCCGACATGGTGTGAGACACGGAGCGGCGCACCCGGCAAATGTCGCGCTATTTGCCAAATACTATTGTCGCTCATGAATTTTCATTAAAACCACTATAGCCCACGGCCATGGTTTCTATGTCCTACATATTCCCGTGCGTTCTCCCGATTATAGATTAAAGATAAAGTCCAGCAACGGTAAGCGAGCGGTGTATCAGAGATCTTCTCTCAGTCCTGACAGCCTCATTGTTCGCTTTCATTGACAACCTGCGCCAAATAAATATTTTATAGATCCTTCCTCCGGATTTTCCAGTTTTCTACTTTACGTTGTTAGAAACTTTCGCGAAACCGGTCCGTATAAAACTTATTTTTGAAAGATCTGTTCCTAGAATTTCCCAGAATTCTACTTCATATTTCGAGGAAAACTACACAAAAAAAAGATTTGCTTGAATTAACCAAATATCTGATCGAATATGAACGATTCAGAAATTCCGATTGAAGTAACCCGAGTTCTATTTAAGTCAATCAAAAATCTTGTTAACTTAAACAGAATTCGGGTTACTTTAATCGGATCATTCATATTCTTTTTCTGGATCATTCATATTCGACCAGATATTTGGTTAATTCAACCAAACCTTTTTTTCCGTGTAGGAAACAGATCCATTGTTATTCGCACTGTCATTTGTATACTCGTGTAATTAGAAGAATCTTACGTAATAACGTGAACTCAGTCCTTCGATATGCTTCTTCCTTTCGCGAGGTGCCTGGCATATCACATCGCCCTTTACGTCTTTCGATGTATTCCAATCGATGTATTCGATGTAGAATGTAGTCCGTGGAACCTGCGAACACGTAGCATCAAAATAATGGAAACAATCTCGCGATTCACACTGTTATTTGTTATTTTGCAAATAATGAATTTTCTGCGAATGAAAGCAGTGCGGGAAAAATATTGTAGATAAATTATACAATATATTAAAAACATTTATAGTTATTCAAATTCGTGATACAAGCGCAAATTATAGTCTATTCAAAGTCAATGTTGACGTCGTGATTATGATCATCATTATGATCGGAAAAAGTTTAGAATTATAGCACATTCGCGGATCCCCATTTGTCAGAATATAAGGATATGTAGATCGTGATAACGATTACTGTAGGAACAAGAATAATTTACTACGTGATATTAAGAAACACGTTAGATTTGAACGGTAATTTTGGCCCGTAAGACACTCGGACGTTTAACACACGCGAACGAGAGAGACGCTGATTTTCGCAATAGCTGCTAATTATAAAACAGACACTCGCAGAGTAGAGAGTTGCTTTTTTTGGTACACGTGTTCCCAAGAAGTCGCATAGCAAGGCAGAAAAACGTAAGACGAAGCTGCAAGTAACATCTCGCGCTCCAGCAGTCTCGACAACATCAGTCTAGCAAGGTAAAATGGTCAAGTACAATTATCGACAATTTTAACTCTTAAATTAATGATTGAATTCTTGTAAGACAGTAGTATGAGATAATTTTGATTACAGTTATCATTTCGTTGTAAATTAATATCTGTTGCAATTATTATTCGTCATGTCCTTTTAATTTCCGTCTGTTACAACAAATAATTATATAAAAATATTCAGTATATAGATATAATAATAATTATATAATAATAATTATATAGAAATATTCAGTATATAGATTTTAAATATGGATTTTAATTATTTTAATAAATAATTTTCGGGCATAAGATCTCCTTTACAATTAATCGATGTTTAAAAACGGCAAACAACAGATTGGGAAAGACCTCTGGACAGCAAATTTACAACCTCCTACAACCTCCTACTATACCTAATCATTGTACAGAACTGCGTACTCATTCACCATTGTATTGCATTATATATTTTATATTATATATTATATAGAATATAATATAAGATATATTATATATTGCATTATGTATTTTATATTACATATTATATAGAATATAATATAAGATATATTACATATTATATAGAATATAATATAAGATATATTACATATTATATAGAATATAATATTATGAATATTATATTAGAGGTTATATTAAAATATATAATATAAATAAAAGATGTTTTTAGATCTCTCTTTGAGCCATCATACTATTTATTATTAACTACGTTTACACGGCAACGTTAATCCGGATTAGTAACTATAGTGAATTCTCGAATCCGATTGGAGTACATTTTTAGATCTAAAAAAATATATCAATAAAATCCAAGAATTCACTAACTACAATTGTTACTAATTCGGATTAACGTTACCGTGTAAATGTAGTCATTTATTACCTATGTCTTTTCATGTCCTATTCCTGGTACAAATTCAACGTTGATGCTAACTACTTTAGCCGAGGCTTCAATCAATTTACTTTGAATTTAAATCACATTGATGACAATTGGTGTAAGTCTCGGTTAAACCGATTTGAAGAACACATCTCTGTGGCCGGTATTCAAAGTCGGATCTTATAAGACTGTTTTAAGTTCATCTTCAGATAGTCAGTAGCCGATGAAATAATATATACATCATCTCAAGATAAACTTAAGACAATCTTAAATCCAACTATGAATACCTAAAATATAGGTTTAGCCGAGACACAAACCATTTTCAATCGGTTTAGCCGAAACTCAAACCATTTTCAATCTCTAGTAGCATGTGTTGTGCAGACATTCTGTATTTTGCAAAGAAATGTCGAATTTGACACTGATTTTTACAATTGCAGAATTAAGAGAGTTGGAGACGTAAACGGAGAAAATCATAAGAAGGACACATTGTTAAATGGGCGGACAAGATAATAACGGAACACACAGATGACAACCTGTTATGAATCTCCAGAGGTGAACATTGTTTTAAGCGAGGAAGAGATACACAAGAGATACCAAGATACAGCGATGGTGATATTTAAAGTAATAACAATAACTAACTAAATTAAACTACATAAATTAAACGTAAACAGAAGTTTTTTTTTTCTCTAAATTAAAGGAACAACAGAGCAGAAGGAAAGAAGTCGTCAACTATCTCAGTTTTGGAGACAGTCGCAGGACGATGGAGTACAGTAGTAATGGAAATCAAACCGTTGTCATACGTAGACCAATAGTGGTTAGACAGAATAATTACTTACCTTCGCATATATTAAAAGCTGGGAGGAAATTGTACGATAACTTAATGTACAAAACACGTTCAAACTAATCATTAGTTCAATAAATTTGTTTGTGCGCCTTAACATTGTATCTATTGATGCTTCAAAAGAATAATAAACAATTATTCGCAACTGTAAATCTTGTTATTTACGCGCGTACAATTCATACATAATTAAAATCTACTTAGAATCTCTTCAGGGAATCCTAATATACAAATATCTTGTAATGTATATTATCACAACACATTCTCATGTCAACACATTCGATGTCACTCGAATCTATCTTCAAATTTTCCGTCGCAATCGCCTCTTTAACCCGCAAAACACACTTAGTAATTAAAATAATAGTATATTCTATAATGAAATAAATATATATCACAATAAAAAACATAACAAAAATAAAGTACACGATAGGGCAAAGATTTATCTCACTGAGTAATGAAATCATCCGATCTTCATTAGGCGTTACGACGTGACAACAATTAGATGCAGAAAATTGTCCGGATAACTCAAATGCTCCGCCATCCATTGAAGTGGCGTTTCCAATGGTGGTATGATACCATGAGTACGCACTGTAACTGCAAGATCACAATTAATCAGTTTCAATTCCGTGAAATAAGTAGCAATATCGGATAAAACATCTAATTATTGACATCTCTTTAGCTATTCACACTAGAAAAAAATTTGATTTTTCTTGCGACCAGCTTTGCGGTTCTTGCCTGCATTCCACGAAGGAGAAATTCACAATTAAAACTATGAATAACTTCTGCTAATCGCAAGAGGAATCAGGTTTGTTTAGATTCTCAGGTTTCAGCTTTACCGTTTGAATATTATTTGATTTATTTTATAAAATATAATGCCTATTGTATTAATTTCGTTTTTGTGGTCAATAAAGTAAGCTAAGGTAAGTGTCACACAAACTAAGAGGAATCAACAATTAAGTGTTTTACTCTACAAAACATTACAAACCATTTTCCTGATCCGGGAATACTTCACTTAACAAATGCTTCAACGTTTTTCTTTGGCCTTCTTCGTTTAATGGCCTCACCAATTTCTGTACATATTTATCCTCACTGGTGTAGCATCGGAAAGGTATATATTTAAAACCCTCTTCAGTGATAGCCTCCATAAGCCTACCGTTCACAGACCAGAACTGATCAAATTTATCATTCATAATACCATTCCACAACTGTGTGTGATCTTTTTTTTGCATACTGGATACAATCTGCCCTCTATGCTTCAGAACGTCTGCCTCTTTTATGCAGGAGAGAAAGTGAGCTTCTACAATTTCTCTGGAATTGAATGAGATGTGAGTGTGTTTCATTGCAGCGTACACATTCATACGTATCACATCTGAAGTTAATCGTGTACATACTTATTTTGGCAGTGCATCAGAACATTTTCTGGAAACTTATCGAAGTGGACAACGATGTTCCATGGCAACTGAATGTCATTGAAATAAATGTCCAACAAGACACCAATAGGATAGTGCCATTTCAATGGAATGCCGTTGAATTCTAGCCACATCTCATGCTCTTGTTTACTGTCACTCTGTATGTGTCGTATGAAGTGCTTTCTCACCTAATATCAATAATATTGATGTCATGATATATGAACGATGAGTGTTTTGCAATAGTATATTGTGAAGACTAACCTTCTCTGTACACAGTGGGAAGTAACTTAACCTAGGTACCATTAGGTAAAAAGGATCCGGTCCTTGCAACTCACAAGTCTCCTCCGAATTCAGAGTAAAACAAATTGGTATCTTGCCATCCCAGATTTCCCGAAGCATCTCACGATCGTTTGCCATTACGATCGCAATACTGAAGTTATCTTTTTAAAGTACTTACTGCTCCAATGAAGCAGCTCGCTAATAAATAGGTTAGGTTGGCTTGTGTTTATTGTCTGCTCTGAAGATGGGCGATAATCGCTGGGTGAATCGATTCTTTCTTTATGAGCAGATCGATTATCGTATTGATGTCTTTAAATTTGAGAGGATTTTATATTATGGGTCTGTAAGAGAGACTCTGGCCTAATTGCCGCGGTGTAAAGACTTGTTCAAACTTATTCGTACGTAATAGATGTCTATCCATATGCACGCTATGCTTTAAAACTCGGTCTCCATAGCCCGCAGATGTAAGACGTAGACGCGACACTTGCCACGATAGCCAATCATAAGCATCAGAGATGACCACTTATCACCAGTTAATTCTTATAGCATATTTTTTACAGCATAATTTAGCGAAGACTCAAACCATTTTGGTTCGAATCTCGGCTAAAGAATTTAGAAAATGGTTCGTTTCTCAGCTATTGCGATATTTGGTATAATTTTAACTAAAAACGCAGAATCTTTGTTTAGCCGAGATTCAAACCATTTGCCACTAATTTAGCGAAGACTCAAACTATTTTGTTTCGACTCTTAGGATATTTAGAATTGTTAGTGTCTCGACTATATTGACTGATAGTAAAATTTGTCTAAAATTGTTTCAGTTTGTTGCATACATTTAGAAAAAAGGAAAGATCTAGAAAATTGTGTTATATCCAGAGATATGCGTCATTCCAGGGTTGACTTTGGAGGCCATCTGCGGCGAGAATGTGAACTAAAGTTTCTGTGTATAGGGTTTATCGATATAAACGCTATACCCTAACGCATTATTCACATATTGCTCATACAGCAGCAGGAAGGTTAGTTCAAATTAATTAGATGAGGATTGATTGCCATCTTTGTCTCGCTTGTCTATGTATTTCGTTGTTTTCCGTAACTCGGAGAAAAAATGTTTTCATGTTTCTCGAGTGAGGCAATGGTAGCATAACGAGGTCTATATCGAGTTATTTTTGTAAATATAATGATGATTATTAATAAATATGAATATTTATGCAGAGATTGTAGAAATGACGTATTTGATATTGTATAGTTTTAAAAAATAAGGATAAAATAATATTCGTAAATTCAAGCTTGCAATAATATTCGCAATTTAACATATTCTGCCTCATGTTGTATATTAGATTTGGTTTCCGGGTTTGAGCCGCGTGGATTCTTCTTTATCTGATTCCGATGTTTTGTGAACATTTCCGCTTTATCAGGGAAGAATGACCCGATACAGAGTTGCTCCTAAAAGGTCTTCCTTTATATAATGATTGCCATAGGGGAGGGGGAAGGAAGTAAGGTGGTGGAGGATGGTGGAGGGAACTTTATCCAATTATTTTATTTGTAGTTTGTGCTGCATAGCTTTTTATTTTCCAGTAGTATAATTTACAATGAGTTCTATAACGTATATTGGAAAATGAACGCGTTTATAAAATTCATGTAATTTAGTTTAGTTGTGCTACTGTAAAATAAAAAACTTATGTAACCTGTCGTCAAGTCGTACTATTTGAAAGTAAGAATCTATCGGACTTAGCGTGTAAAGATGTTCAATCCCGCTTTACTCGAGCTGAACAGAATCAGAGCAAAATCTAAACGATCCGTTAGAGTTTATATTATGTAGAGTGATGTGTGTGTGTGTGTGTAATATCACTTTCTTGAATTTTTGTTGGCCAAAACACTAAATAAAGGAGTCATAGAAGAAAATAAGAAAAGACATTAGAATAAGGTTTTTTTTATAATAAATGGTTAAAAGAATATTACGTTTTATTCGATTATTATATTAAATATATTACCCTAATAAGTCAGAGAGACAAGAAAAGAAAAGAGATATAAGGGAATTTCAGAAAACATCTTTGCTTTTTACTATCTATCCTATAATTACAATGTTTTTTAAATCATTTTCTTCTCTACGAAGTAAAGAACTATTTTATAAATAAATAAAATAGGGTACTACCTTATTTTGTAAATTTACTCCGTTTTGGCCAACACTAACGTCAAAATTTCTAGTTGCGCTACTGCTGCGACTTAGGTCGATATTCATAGTCGAATAATATTTCAAGACTGTCTTAAGTAATGTCTTAGGATGTGAATACGGCTCTATGATTGACATCTTAAGATACTTAAGACAATCTTAAATATAAGATCGGACTATGACCGGCCTTAGACCCGTTATACTCAAACCTTTTATTTGCGGCTCTGTTAGTTCCAAACTCTCCGCTACGAGGCACCACTGTTTCTAAGGAGGAACGCGTAGTCATAGTACGAATGAACGAGTCATCAACAAAATGTTATGTTAAATACACTTACGATCAATCAACGAATTATTTGTCGCGTGGAAAAGGTGTAAACGATATTTATATAAATAATATATTTGTTATGGAAGTGTATGGTTTACATCGTTAAACACGTCCTGCTTAACGAAGATGGGCACTTTACGCCTTCCTCACGTCTCTGCATTCCATAACTGACTCTTTACGTACACATATACACATATATATAATATATAAACTTCTATATACATATATTGTACATACCTTTGTTTTACATAAAACATTACGATGTATCTGAGAAGATCACGTTGAACATTGGGATATTATATTATAAAAAGAAAACATAACTCTCTGTCTTATAAATCAATTCTAACGTAACAGACTAATTAGGATGCAAAAACCAATTATACCGAAATTTGTCATTAACTTTTAAATATATTTACAGCTGTGTGACAAACGTTCCCGGTTAGAGTTCCGCTGCCGTATTAGTGTCAAGTATTTACAGCAACACCAGTTGCTAAAATGAAATCAGGAACGTTACCTTCGCGGGAGCGTGTCGATTAAGGCACCGCGAATGACAGTGAATCGCGCCCACCGAACTAACTTTTTCCAATTGTCTCTGATTAACAGTTCGATTGGTGCGATATTTGTTTGGTCCGGCTAAATATTAAAGCGGATTGAGCAACCTATTGTTCGATTTCCGACTGCATCTCGCCATATCATTACAGAGTATTAAAATATATTTGGTTTCGCAGTCTGATCTGAGCGACCACCTCGATTAGTTTGTCGACGTCGATGGTTTTTTGCCGATTTCGTGAAATTGTCGCTTTCGTCGATTCGACGAAATTCAAGTCTCCTCTGCGCCGGCCCAGCCTGTTTTAGAACGACGACCTTTATTAGAAAAGATAAGCCATACCGACGAGTATATAGAGTTATTTTTTGTCCTTTTTGGTTTTCCAGGAGCTGATTTCGAAAATCAATTGGTTTCTTATTTGTTGACCGTCAAGTCTAACGGCAGGTCCTGCTCCATCTCGGTGACGCCTTCGTTCTTCACCCTGAGACCGCAGGTGTTGGCGGTGTCGGCCATGTTGCACCACATATTCCGCAGCCCGTATTGCAGGTCCATTGAGCTGAGCAGGTGTCGGAAGAGCGGGTCTTGCGTTTTTAGGATGAAATCGGACAACAGCTTCGATTTCTCGAGGATACCGTCGTTGCTATGCACGCAGCACTTGTGCCGGCAGCAGCAGTCGCTGCCCTTGTACTCCTCCTTGAGCGGCGTATGCTCCATCTGCACCTCCATCTTCACGTCCTCCGCGTGCTTGATCACCGTATGCCTCACCGGGTCGCAGCTAATCGCGGTCTCTTTCTTGCAAGGCGTGCTGTTGACGATCGACTCGATATTCCTGTAATCGACCGTCGTGCTGCTGGTGTTGGTTGTGGTGTTGGCACCGCTGCTGGTGGTCTTGGTGCCGCAGTCCATCGGTTCCTCGGTCTTGATAGGCGTTGACTGCATGCCGATGCGCGGCATCGTGTCGGACACGCGACCAGGACTGGCGTGTGGCGACGACACCGTGGAGCAGTCCTTGATGATGTTGCCGGCGGAGGCGTACATGGGATTCACTTGGATCCTGTCGGGTATGATGTAGTTGTCATCATACATCGTCTGGTAGATCTTCACGTCTCTCTCGTACGGTTTCGGCGGGCTGATCACCGGCTGCTCTTGCTGTTCTTTCCGCTGCTCCTGAAGATTGTACATGTTGTTCCACTCGACGAAGCTGCGCTGCTCCTCGAAGCTGTTGCTGGCCTTCGGGCTGGAGACCGAGGTGTTGCTCTCGATGCTTGAGTCCTTCTTCGAGTCCGACTCGGAGTGCACGCTGCTGCTCTGTTTGTCCGGTGAGTTTGCGTCGTACCTCGTGGGCGTCTTCTCCGGGTTTCCATCGTCGAAGCTCTTCTCCTGCACCTTGTCGTTGTTGTTCACGTAGTGGCGGTATGTCTTGACGTGCTTCCTCAGGGACGACGGGTCGGTGTACCTCTTCGGACAGCCCGGCACCTTGCAGCAGTACGGCTTGTCCACTGAATGTGTACGGGTGTGCTTGAACCTGTCTGAGGAGTTCGAGTAAGCCTTGTTGCAGCCTTCGACCGGGCAGACGTACGGACGCTCGCCGGTATGCGAGCGCGCATGGATCTTCAGGTTCTCCGCTCGGCTGAAGCTCTTGTCGCACTGGAAGCAGTGGTGCGGCTTCTCGTTCGTATGCGTACGCACGTGGACCAGCATCTTGTACCTGCGCGAGTGGAACAATGTACATTCGGTTGCTAAGAGATTTGGCACAAACGATTCAAAGAGCGTTCGATTACGTTACTCAACGTATAATTGGTCTTGTGGGTAATATCCACACGCGGAGCATCATGGAAGATACCCATAATAGATAAGAGCTAATCTACCCACATTGAGGGTGGCACTGGTTATATCAATCGTCACCGAACAATTTTTGATTGAATTTGCTGAGATCAAATGTCAATTAAACAGCCTTTAATTAAATTTGCTAAGTTCATTCGTTTTTTACGCTCTTCGCTCGCTATCAATTGTCAATTAAACGGCCCTTAAATTGAATTCGTTGGAAATCGTCAATGAAATATTCTTCAATTGATATTACTTGAATCAATCATCAATTGGTTGAATTAAAACAAATTTGTTTAAATCAATTATTAAGAGAAAAATTTTATTGATACTTTTATAATTCTAATTCTAATATTTAATTTATATTTATAATATTCTAATATTATTTAATTTTTTATAATTCTAATGTGTGTAGTGATCGCTTATGATAGGAGTCGAGGTAACAATACAGAGTGTGTAACCTTTGTGTTTAGAAGAATTTATTTTAAATTGAGAGAGAACATTATTTTGAGAAGCAATTTATACCTATTTATAATTAAATATTGATATCTTGAACAGAGGCTTGAATAGACAACAGATACTGATAACTTGAAGAGAGAATATTATTTTGAAAAGCAATTTTTATTTCTAATTAAATACTGATAACTTGAAGCGTTGCAACTTTATCTGATAAAAATTATGTAGCAAGTCGCATCGCAACCGAGTGTATTGAGTACTAAATGTAATACTTGAAAGGGTCTTACCTCGCATTAAAGCCACGTTCGCCCCTCGGGCATCCTTCCCATCCGCAATAGAAGAGACCTCGCGCACCCGGTGCTGCGTGCAACCTTGCGACATGACCCGCGAGTTGTTCCAGGGACGCAAACCTCTTGTCGCAATTTTGCCATCTGTAAAGAAAGAAGGAAATTAATATCTCATGTATCTCTTGAATATTTTATACATGTTAATATTTCGTGTATCTCTTATATATACAGGATTGGGGGAAAGCTACTTTTGGAAAATAGCTTTTTACTCACTAAAAGGAAGTAAACAAGTCACGTTACAGTTTCTGATAATTTGCTCATTAAGTTTTGAAATTACTTTTCTCATTACAAGTAACACGTTACTTGCCAACCCAGTTCATGTAACTTGGTCCTTCGAATGCATCGAGGACGAAGTCCGATCACTGCAAAATCGTTGTCGATTTCGCGATCGACACGCAAGTCGTGACTGCTCGACGACGAGGCGTAAATATAGCATTGCGGCTTAGGGCAGGCGCGCTGAAATATCGACATGTGATTTGCGTCACGAGCACGTACGCTGACTCGTCCAATTGATACCAATTCCGGCCATTTTGCAATTGCCGCCGGTTGACACCAGTTTATCGTTAGAGACCGGAGTTCGGGTACTATTCCAGTCAACGATTACGAGTCCCGCCAATTAGGAGGTACGGATCTGTCCGCGGGAGGTCGCGGATCAAGGTAATTCCGAGTGATCTATCTGGTTGGGCCGGACCCCCGTGGCGGGTCTTGCCTTCAATTTTGGTGGCTCGCTCGCGAGACGGTCAACGAGCGAACACGTCGGCTCGGAGCCGCACAAATAGCCGTTATAAATGAACTCCACCGTTATTACCTAATATGACACCGACGCGTAATAGGCTATATATAAAGATGTCCCTGACCAACCGCACTCTTTTTTCATCGACAAATATATCGCGCGCGTTGGCAAGAAGGAATCTCCGACAAAGTGCGATTTCCACGATTCTCGTGCATGAGATTCTCAATGAAGAGGAACGATCGGTGGCGAAGAGAGTCTTCGAGATGACCGTGAGGGATTCAATGTGAACGCCCGTTGAAATACGCAACTGGAATTCTTCTCTAAAGAAGAGAAGAGAGGGAAGATTAATTAAATAATAATAATTGGGATTCACAGGGTCGGTTGGACGTGGAAGGTTTGATTTATCGCGCATGTTGCCGGAAAAATATCTGGCCGTTCGACTCTAAGCAGTAAACAAACCAAGTTTTTCTTTTAATCCCATATGTATTTTGTAAACAAATTTGATGCTTATCAAACGAACTTATATTAGACTTGCGAATATCTAAACTTATGAAATACTTGAAACGCCTAATATTTACTTGAATGTAGTATGTGTATTCTTATATGTGTAGTTATAGATACTAAACGTTTTTTTCCCCAGTGCTGGATGCCTACAGATTTAATACGACTATCAGTGCTGAATGACTACAAATTTAGTACGACTATCAGTGTTGAATGATAGGATTTGATAAACAACACACAATATTCTCTGTGATAAGGAAATGCTTCAGCTTTCACGTGTACATCACGTGAAAGAAGCGGTTCCTTCGCGTAAATCGTAATAGTGAGCTCTCTCTCTCTCTATCTATCTCCCTCTCTCTGATAATACTCGTTATTTGATATACTAGAATCACTAGATAACGTCCAGCAATAAAGCCGAGGGACTGTTAGTGCGTCGCGACATCACAACGCGCTCGCATGTATTAGAAAGATAGACCGTTTGCGAAAGAAGTGCTCGAACAGTACAGCATTTAGCGCTCGTCGCTTTGCAATAATCATAGACACGATTATTCCTTTTCGTTTATTATCCGAAGGCAATCGTTATCGCCGCGCGGTGTTGAGTCTAAAATTTTTATCACCAACGCATAGACTTTGGATACAGAACCGAGCTGACTGCGTAAGCTCGCTAGTTATCACACTACAACTGTCTTCTTCCTATGACAATATTCGTTATCTTTCGATTGAGTAGATCTTGACTGCTATAGAAAAACGCGCAAAGTCGAGAAACATGCTCGCGAGGTTTTTAATGTCAGACAGCACTGTTTTTAGGTGAAAAATGCGTCGTTCTCTCTTTCTCCCTCTCTCTCGCCCTAGTCGAGTCGAGTCCGGTTACAGAATTTTCTCTGAGCCTGAAGAGCGGAAAGCCCCTTCCAATATCAGCTGGAGATATGGAAAACTGGTTAGAACTGGTATCCATGCGGCACGCGCGTATTCGCGAGACTATGCCGAGATATAAATTAGCTCATTGTTCAAGAGGAATATCGTGAACGCGTCGCTAACGCTTGCGACGAAGTATAAACCGACGTCATACCTGATTGACTGGACGGAATGTGATAAACTCGGTGATTACCTGATAACACGCGCAAGACGCGTGGAGTCACACTCCACGTATACCTCTGCGTCTTATCTTTCCGATTTGCTATAAAGTTATCGGGTGAAGTAGGGAAAATGAAAAGCTCCGAGATAGGAGGGAGGTGTTGGGAGATATTGTGCGCGAAGTAACAAAGATAGGAGAAGAATGTAAATAGAAAATGAAGATAAAAGAATGCCAAGGAAGCGGGACGTGCAAAGTCCAGAGAAGTCTGACAGAGACTGTTGCTTCAAGGAGAGAACAAAAAAAAGCACGACGTCAGTGAAGTTAATGATAAAGATTTGAGCGTGTCGTACGAGAGCGAGAGAGAGAAAGAGAGAGAGAGAGATTTATGTTGCATTTAGCTTACATGATTTCCTATACAGATATCTGTTCCCTCTCTTCCTCTCATAGAACTAACACGCGCCAAACGATTGCGCTATCTACGACTGTGTATAAACGTAAACAAGCGCTAGACCAATACCGAGTTGAAATATGACGCGAATTGCACGAACGGACGGTAGTCATCCTCTCCGCGGTGTCTAGCGAAGATAGCGAATTCGCCCGATGCGGACGCGATGTCGCGTCCTTATCAGCCCCTGACGCTATCTTAATTGGTCCTTTAACAACAATAATAGCGGCGAGTGCAGTGCACCCGCGGAAAAATATATGCCCGATGCCGGCCGACTCCAGGCGATCTTTGACTTCGCGCCACGGCTCGACAGTACAAATCGTAATTGGAGAACCACTGTCCTCCCCTTCTCTCCCTCCTTCCCCCGCGGACCTTTGCACGCGTTATTTTCTGTTTTACTCGCGCGTGCGATCGCCATCGAATTAGCACGTTGACTGCTACGCTGTTACGTGTTATGTGAGCTGACGCTTTAAGATTTCCGTGTCTTCCTAATTTATGTATAAGACATAATACGTTAAATAACGCGATGAGGTAATCTGTAGTCAATGAAGTATTGAAGTAATCAATTTACATGGCGATCAACGTGTCAATTGTTACATTATCGCAACGATTTTTCTTTTTCCTTATCTGAAACGAGCTAAGAAGTATATGTATCCCGAATTGCAGTTATTTGTCGTATCCTTGGTGAAATTTTGGTGAAGTAATGAAGTAATCAATTAAGTCATTGGATAGTCATTAAGATATTGAATAGTCAATTAAGCGTTGGAATAATTACATAGCAATCAACGTGTCAACTTTTACATTATCAGAGACATTAGAAGAGATTTTTCTCCTTACCTGCATTTCAATTGAGTGTTCTCGGCTCCCCTGATGGAACCCAGCTCCAGACTGGAGCTGGACGCGTCGGAGTCGCTGTGCGCCGGGCTCGGTGGGCCGCCGTTGCCGAGAGCGCCAGGAGATACCCCCAATCCGGTGAGTCCGGCGGACGGAGAGGAGTTTCCCAGTTCTTCCTCGGCCGGCATCCTTCGCGGCCAAACCGGAAGGTCCAGCTGCTGTTGGTGCTGGATGCTGATGCTCCCGTAGTAGCTCGAGCCTGGGCTGGTAGAGTAGCCGGAAACCGGGTTGTAAAAACCCGGGACAGCTCCTAGCAGGGTGCCCGGGTAACGAGCGGCGCCGTAGGGACCAACGTGAGTTGGCATTCTGCCCGGAACGTAAACGATCATGTTTGTCTTTTGTTTTTTGCTCTTCTTTTGCTCCGCGATCGTCTTTCTCTCTTTCTTTCCTTCCTC